AGATGACTGGGGCAGCTACTGACGATGCGATTCAGTTATGGCCTCCCGAGTCAAGTGAATGGCAAAGGGTCCAAGTCATCCCGGATGTCAATGGACATATCAGTTAACGGCGCACCGCAAGAAAGTATCCACCGGGCAGTATCGGGGAAAAAATCCACAAAGGCACATCGGACTGCCAGATGCCACAAATGGTAAGAGGGAGGTATATGGCAAGTGGTTTGGGGCATAGGGTATGGGGTACAAGGTTTTACCCCCCACAGTTAGAGCTGCATCATTGCTGCCAGCTCGGCATATTGATTTTAGTTTTTTCCTTTCCTCTATGACTCCTTCTGGCATGTTTACCTTAACTATTTACGTTGACCTGTTGTGCTTGGACGCTCGTTATGAATACATTGTTTGCATATCGGAGACGGTGTACCGAGCAAGGACCAACTGAGTTCCTCACTTCAATTAAAAGTGGAAAGCCATTTCCGACACACTCCAGTGCTTTTGTTTCCCAACCAAGTATATTAAGTCAGGATGTTGGGCAATTAGAAAAACACATGCTTGCACCTTGTTAGTTGAGTTAAATCTTAATGAATTCAGGAGATCGTATCAGATATTTTCCAGCTAACAGTGCTTAGGTAAGTAATAACTGTGGCATTTCAAACCAGTTTTACTTTTCATTCAGAGAACTTTAACTTTGTAGCCCACTTCGATATGAAATGCTGTATGCGAAGAGGCAGGACAAAAGGCACCCCAACATTAATTGTCAGCTCCCTTAATTGCCCGTTTTCGTTGCACCAAAATCCGCAGCAGTTGCAGCAGCATAATAAAAAGTATCCGAGGCACACGAACGAGCCCCGGCCTAAGTTGGAATCGCGCTGCAGATTGCTGGGTCAGGTCAGGCCAGGCCAGGGATCTGGGATCTGGGAGTGGGATAGCCGGGTTAAGGCCGTCCGCTTGGCCAGAAGACCAGGCCTCCGAGCTCTGGGCTCTGTTCTCCGGTGCTGCAGTGGAGCTGACACGGTGACCTAAAGGCGACAACAGCCGCATGCAGAATGGAGCTCGGAGCACGGCAGAAGTGCACAGATAGAAAAGTTTTATGTTTACAGAATGAATAGCTTTATAAATTTTCTTTGATATTTCTCATACATGGTAGCTCCGGCAAACAGGAATGATAACCATATTGATTTTTGTCTTCTTCAAGTTAAGATATTGCAATTTGATAAAGCTTACGGAACCTTTAATAACCATATTAAGATTTCATTTTTTTCCGTGTGCCTACGGCAGCGACACAATGAAAGCGGCCCACAAACAACACACTGAAATTGTTTGCTTTGTGCCTTTGGCTGGCTGGTTGGGGAAAAGCCAGCAGTGCTAATAAACAATGGGCCACGGCTCGGAAAATGGAAAAATGGGTCCAAGAGGGGCCTGGGCAGACGCATCTGAGACTTCCTGGGCGCTGGTAGCTGTCGCTACTAGATGTTTTTAGCTGTTTTACGCTTTTAGGGCAATTTGGGGACAACGTGGCGTATGCGTGTCGTGTCTACTGTCTACGCTGCCTTTGCAGGTGTCAAGTGCCAAGTGTGTAGTTTACCGCAAAGTGCTGCCTGGCCTCTCTCGCTCCATGTCCTACAGTATGCCATACAGTGTGGCGTAGTATAGTATGTATGCATGTTTTAGTTTTCATAACCCGGAGCGCTAAAAAATACCAACAAAGGACATTTTCCATTCGAAAGCCACTGCGGCAGCTATAATGGCCACCGCATAACAGGCGCACACACACACACCCGAGACAGAGCAGGACCTTAAATTGTTCAATTCAAAGGCTTCTGCGGAGCATTTACGAGCGACACAGGAGCACACAACGAATCCCGGGTTAGGACCAAAGGGAAACTCGTTAAATGCCATGGCTGCCTCATGCATATATTGTTTGTGGCAGCATGTGAAGATGGGCCTCCATTTCTCCTCTGGAGGCGACTTCAAAAGGGAGTAAAAGTTTTCTTTGTCATCTATTAAGGCATTTCCTGCAAATGATTCAGCCACGCTGAAAACCTTTACTGGCTTCAAAGCAGAAAAAGTTGTCTTCAATGGGGAAGTTCGACTCGGAAAGGTTAGGATGTATCTACTTTAGAGGAGACTGAGCAGGCTGTAATCTTGCAAACAGTTTCCCTAACTCTGAGACTTTGTGTACCCGAGCCAACAAATTAATTAGTTTTCAACACTCGAGTTACTTTAAATGGCAATTCGTATAATTAATTTCGCACACATTGGCAGGAGAAGTGCAAAGCAAATCGAAATCAGCAGAGTGGTCGGAAGTGTTTGGTGTGCTAGGGCAGAAGCAAAAGGACCTGCTGGGCCAGGTCAGGGGTCACACATTCAGGACACATATCCAGATTCAGATTCTGATTCAGATCCAGAGCCATCGAGAGCCAGAGGAAGCAATTTTCCTGCCGAATGCGTCTGCACAAAGCGAAGATATTACAGAGTACACAGATACAGAGTGTGGGCACTGGGGTGTGGAGGCAGTGGTTAGCTTGTGGCCAGTCGACCAGGACTCCAAGGACTCGGTCCCTCAGTTCCCTGTGCAATCACTCAAACGGCTAAGAAATCAACTGCCAAAGTCATAAATTTTCGGTTTGCAAACTGAAAATTATTTCAGCATCATCCTTCTCCCTGTGCTGGCAAAAGTTAAATAATGCAAGGACTGCACAACATGTGGGTTTGTGAGGGTGGAGTGGGTGGTGGACGGTGGGTGCTATACTACTTCTACTGCCACTTTGACTGGGCCAGTGAAAAATTGTGCAGAAATATTTAAACTGCAATTCCAAAGCGATTTGTTTTATGGCCCCAATGCTCGAGCATTGTTTCGCCAGCACCCAGGACCTAAGCGCTCCGGATCCGGATGAGGATGCGGATGCGGATACGGATCGACTTCCGGTCTTCACTCCGCTGCACCCGGCGGCGCGGAAAACTTAACTCGGATTTGATGTGGCCAAGCAGCTGTTAATGTTGCATGATTTATGCCCCACCCATGCCGGGCAGCTCATTATATGCCACTAAATCAGGACTGCAAAAGCTGTGTGAGTTCGTCAATGTCGCCAGAAATTTTTGGCAAAACCAAGAGAGCGTCCTGCGAGGAGGATGTGTGGTCAATGCACTGCCACTTCCGGTTCCTCCACTTCCGGCCAGCGGTCGTAAATTTCACCCAGCCGCTTTGCATGTCCTCCAGTTTTGCAGTTTATTATTTTATCGGAGCGGAGTCTGCACTCCGTTGGAGCTGCCAATTGTCATCGCCAGCCTTCCAAGTCCGCGCTCGCATCCTGGCCATCCTGACAAGCCTTTGTCTGCCTTTGTATCCATTCAGCAGTGATTTGTTTGGCCGCCTGCAGTTGGCTTGTTTTTCTTGGCCACCGCGATAAATCAACACTTGCACCCTGCCTTTCGGTGACCCCAGCCGACTGGCCTGAGCTTTCGGATTACTATGCATTAGTACGAAATTAGAACTATTATATTTATGGCGCAAATAGTCCGCACATCATTCTGCACGGCCCAGGTAAAAGGCAAAAGCCAAAAGGGGTAGAGCAAAAAATAAAAGCGAAGAGGCAAAAACCATAAGCTCTTGCACTGTGGAAAAGGTAGTTAAGTAAACTAAGCTGTAAATTAAAACTGATATAATACTGCGCTTCAGAATTCAGAAGTCCTTACTAGAATATTTACTGATAAAGAGCCTTCTTGTCAATAATCCAATTTTAATCATAGCCTGGCTTCTCTCAGTGTATCCACAGAGCCATTAGACACGCCTAGCAGTCACTGTCTGGCGTTGGGCTGTAATAAAAACATAAAATGTTGCACATTATGCAAACAAACCCACATGCACAGTGGCTCCCACTCACACACACACTGGCACACGCTTAAGCTTTTGCGATGGCGCCGCATGTCTAACGGTTTCGTTCGCCATTTGCAAACACACACGCACATGCACACACAAGGACGAGGACGAGGACGCACACAGACACGGATGGATACCTTGTGCTAAGCAAACTTTAGGCCCTGCAGCCCGTGTATGAGCGAGAGCGAGCGAGTGTGTGTGAGTGTGCGGAGAACATTAAATTTATTTGAAATTATTATTATGCGCATTTACCTAACATTTGCATAACCGTCAACGGTTCGGAGGTTCTCTGTGGGCCAATTTGCGAGTGAAATGTGGCGGGAACTGGGGAACTGGGCCAAAGCAATGGCGAGAGCAGTAACAGGAGCAGGAGGAAGAGCCAACAGCTTATAATTTGATTGAAAAGTCCGCGAGGAGTGATCCAGAATGAATCTTCGCTGCGGCGATGATTTTTCGTTTTAAAGAGCACTCATCACGCCGCAGGACACTCGGCACACACTCTTACAAATATTTAACTGAGATATTTTGTCAACTGCTATGGCAAACAATATTATGCATTCGCTTAATGCGCTAGTTTATGGCTCCAACTGACCGGCATAAATAAGCAGCGGTGAAAAAATGAAAAATGGCAGCCAGCACAAAAAATATGAAAATAAAACATGGCGCATAAATTAAAAGCAATGCGCACTAGATTCGCCCACATTGCGCACACAAAGCTGCACACACATCGCAAAATTGTTTTAAATAATTAAATGCTGGCGCTGCACTTATTTACACCATTTACCGAGCTGTGTGCACTAGGTGTGCCTGGAAAACAACCTAACTGGCCGGGTCTTTCCAGCCTTGCAATGCCCTTTTAAGGTCAGCATACTTCTAGGCACCTTTATAGCTGATTTCATTTACTATTTTTGATATTTCTTTTATTTCAACTATTTCCCAAGTAAATCCTTTACATTGACAAGGGATATTTCTTAAGTTTAGGGTATGAACAAGTTGCTGATGCCGCAGCCCTTTGCCGAGTCTCTTCCACATGTTTGCGACTGAATGCTGGCATAGAGATGTTTTTATGTATGCCTTCACAACAATGAAATTATATAAATATTGCAAACAGGCAGTGTGGCTCGCTTTTGCTTTATTTTACTGGTCGTTCTTTTTATTGTGATCCGATGATATTTTGTGTGGCGTTCTCCCTGCCGAGGAGCTCTCCTCTAGAGGCCGCACAGTGTGAAGGAGTTGGAGAGGACGAAGGATTGCTGGATGGTCACATACTTCTCCCTGCCCTCGAAGTCCAAGTAGATGTCGAACTCCAGGTCGAAGATGCTGTGCTCGCTGGGTTTCATGGCGAACACGCCCTTGATGACCTCGCCCGACTTCACTGGCAGTGGGGTCTCCAGGTAGAACACAGTCTGGTTCCAGTGTGTCCAGGGAGCACTGGGCGACGTGCTAAAGCTAATCCTATGCGGACTCTTGCTGAAGCCCACATCGAAGTAGGCCACCAGGGCATGAACCCAACCATTTCGGGTGACCTTCAAGCTCGTAGAAGAATCGAAAGTTGGCGGATTGGCGGCACGCGGTATAAAGATCCAGCGATTTGACCAGGCACACCTTGCTCATCACCTGGCCGGCGGTCACGTGCTCCACCACCGCCTTCGATTCACATTTGCGGCGGATGGCCGACAGGTCGAAGCCGTGCACATCGTGCCAGAAGCCAAGATCCTGGTCCAGCCCCTTGATGGCCGCCAGATAAAGCTGGGCCGTGTCCGGAAAGATGTGCCCTCCGGCGGACAGCCACTTGTCCCGCGCAAATATTAGCGAGTCCAGCATATTCTCCGCAAACAGGCAGTGGCTGTGGCAAAACGGATTTGGGTTAAAGGTTATCGCTGGGGAATATAGCTCTGAGAAGTATAAATTAGGAAGTAAAATAGAGAAGAAAGTAAACTAAATGATTTTTTTACAATTTACTTCTTAGTTTATATTTACTTGCCCCATCCAGTCGCACACAATGATGTCCACCTTATCGATGTCGGAAGGCAGCTCAATGTCCTCCACTTTTCCGTGAATCACAGATATAACACTTCCGTACCCATTGTCCTGCACTATCCGATGGGCGAGGTCCGTAATGGTGGCCGCATCCACGGCAAAGACCTTCTTAGATCCCGCCTTGGCTGCAAACATCGAAAGGACACCCATGCCGCAGCCCACGTCCAACACAGTCTTTGGGGTCAAGGATCTCTAAGAGGAGCTCTTTGTTTTGGACACTACTCTACCCACCTTGTGCTTGAAGAACTCGTTGAGGAGGATGGCCTCGCGATATGCCTTCATTCGGACAGTGTCCTTCAGCAGCCATTCATGCACCTCAATGCGGCCATAAAGGCTGAAATAAACGGACTCCTGCTCGCGGCGATCCTTGTTGCGCTTAAGAGCCAAGTCCAGATTACGATCCGCACTGGCATACCCTTCTCCAGTCCCCAACATTTTTTCATAAGCAACTTCGGAACTTTACAAAATTTACAAAATACTTTCAACATAAATCTCACAGGTATATGGATGCCTAAGATTTGGCCTGACCCTGGAAAAATTTCTTATTTTGCTGGCTAGTTTTTCATAATTAATTCTTTAAATTACCGCCCACCGTACCCCGCACGTGCATTAACTAATTAAAAAGCTCATTAGCGTACATAAATCAGCGTTATGCAGACATTAATTTCATTATTACATCCAGGCAGCTCCGCTGACCTACTACTCCGGGACAAAGGACCATGATGAGCTGGACAAGCAAACAAGTTTGGAAGAGGAAGCCACCGGACGAGGGATATCATTCACTCCGCTGAAGACGGCGTCTTCGCCTTTCGTCATCCGTCCCATCCCCTGGACACCCCAGAAAACAATGTCTTCGTCTAGTCGGTCTCGCAATTATGGCCACACTGCTTCCGGACATTCCCAATTCGATTGCGGGAATGGGAATGCGAATGCGAATGGGACCGAGAAAGTGAAAAGCGAAGGATGCCCTTCCTCTCGCCGTCCCCGCATTTTGGTATGTATCGCCTTCAGCAGCAACAATTGCTGGATTCTGGATTCTGTATTCTGGATTCTTGACTTAAGCAGGGCACAGCAGAGCGTGAAAACATCATAAAGATGAGAAATTATTATCTGCTTCGCATCCAGGGGACAGGGGGAGCATTTAGCTGCTCTGTTAGCGGCCCTGAATGAAATATCACATCCTGCCGAGGAATAAAAATCAGCGTCGGTAAAAAATACACATAAGAGAAGTAAGCAGGAAGCATCCAGAGCTCGAACAGGAAGACGGGGATTCTATACTGTGCACACCCACACCCCACACACACACATACCGGCAGACGGACGATAAACGCTCGCAGCGTCAAAAGACAATGATGAGGCAGGATGGTCCGGGAATGAGAATGCACAGAAGCAAAAATGAATATAATTCTTTATGCGTTAAGAATAAGCCGAGCAGAATCAATTTGGGAGAAACACATATTTTCTTCTTAGTGTTCGGGTCTCTTGCGGAGCCTAAATCGGGCGAGGAATATGGCAGCTGGCAAATACAGAGAGCAAGCCAGCCTCTGGTCGGCATCAAAAGTGACGAAAAATTGTAAAAATAAAATATAATGGCAACGCAGGACTGGCTCGTCCTGGACTTGGGCGATAATTTTTTATTTGTATGCCCGCCGTAAGCCAAAAGGCAGGACAGAAAGGGTGATGGGCTGGTGGGTGGATCACAGACACACACACACAGAGGACACACACAGCGACAAATACAAACACAAACACAAACACAAGCACAAACACTTTGCGGCCATCGCAGTCAAGCTGCGCGTTATCCTTTGTGTAATTTCTGGTTTAATGAGGCGGCATTGGGATGGACCCATTCCTTCCTCCCTGCCTCCACCCCTGCGAGGCCATAGGTAAGCATTTTTACACTCATACATTTTTACGACTCGAGCATTAAGTTAAAATTTGTGTTAAATATTTTATTGTTTTTACGGCCACATGAACACCTTGCAGCGACACGAGCCGGGCAAATTATGAGATTCAAGGGGAGCCCAGCCACTGGGGAGCTGGGATCAGAGGCGATATTTCAAGGCCCTGCATGTCCTTGGCTGTGCACGTGGAAAAAGGAACCACAAGAAGCAGGGCCAGATCTGTACCATAATTATATCTTAAATAATACGATTTCATAAGAGCTTCAGAAAGTACGCTTGAAAGAGTAGAAGTAGGTTGTCCTTCTTGTTTTGTGATCATTTTGATACTAGCAATTTCTATAATTAGAGAATGATTAAGTGGAAAAGTGCAGCATAAAGAAATAAGGAAAGAAAACAAATAAACAATTCTCTCAATATAGAGAACAACACATTCCTTGACCACTCTTAACACGTTCCGGTAACTCTCTGGAGGACAGAACGGGACTCCCACTACGTGTGGCCATTAATAGTTGCCAACTGCCACTGGATTGTTTCAGTCGCACACGATAATCTCGACACTTCCTGGCCCTCTGAGCTCAAACAAATCGAGATTTGGGCGATTATGAAATTGGCAATTAGTTGACTGCGTTGTGACAGCTGCTCGACTCCGTTGCCAGGTAGAATCGACTGCGGGGCAAGCATGGCTGGCATATGGCTGGCTGACATCCTCAGTCATTCAGGGAATCGCACTTGACAGCCGAGAAGCGTCGACCCGCAGACGAATAAACCACTCTAGGAGGCATTCACCTGTCTGAAGTCTGGAATTAGTGACTGCATTTAAGGAGCGCTTGGCATTATTATCCCAGCACCTATTAACGGGCCGGGTGAATTATGATTACGGTATGGCATGCATGGGTTTATGGCATGTAGTCCCCGAGTATTTGCAGATTTATTGCACCTAAAAATCAGCGCTAATATAATGCATAAATCAGAGTGGCTAAGTCAACATATATTAGGTGTACGAGTATGCCAGTGCACCGGGAGGAGGTCCTGCGAAGGATTCGCCTTAGTGGCCTGTGAGGCAAGTGAAATTCAGCGAAAACGAAACATTTTGGCAAAGTCGTTGGGTGGGAAAGTGGGTGGGTGGTTCTGAGATGGGTGGTAATACTCAGAGAGAGAGAAAGAGAGAGGAGAATTGAGGATAGCATATTGAGGGCGTCTCTCTGCGTTCCTCTCTAGGAAACTCTTTTGCAGATTAGCGCAGGCGCTCTGATTATCCACCTTCCAGTGGCGGAGTTTTCTTCTCGGGCAGCCTGTAAGGGAAATATTTGGCAGTCGAGCACGGGGAAACTGGGTTTTCTCGGCCACGGCAGCAGATGTTGGCTAATTAAAGCATTACTACGTAGGTCAGGCTCGCGAGCCGTGGGAACTTTATGACTGCCCAAAAGTGACGATGCAAATGGCCCCGAGATGCACTCTTCCAAGTGCAGGTAGAAACCGTAGATCATCACAGATGATGTACCGCATTCTTGGGCATAATTAAAAAGCCATTTAAGAGGGGGTTCGCTCGCATTATCCAATTATATGGCCCATGGCAGGGGTTACGGTTCTTTGGCTAGTCAAACAGAAATGTTTTGGGTGTTTGGCACTTAACACATTTCCACATGGCTTCAGTTTTGGTTTCTTTCTGCTTTGAGCGGGCTGCGCAGGCGCTTTCCGCGTTTTCTGAGCGCCAAACGAGTTGGGAGTTTGCGGAGAAACTGGTTTTTGGGTCACAGCGAAGGGCCATTCGACAGTCGAGAACAGGTAAACTCGAGATAATTATTCAATGAAGCCGAGAAGCCGAGGGCTTCCCACACACAGAAAAACATTTCTTCTGTAAAGTTGACCAATGAGCTTGGTACCTAAACTGTTACAAATAGGTTTTAATATTGAATATGGATTGCTGTTATGCCTAAAAATTACATATATTGTCAAGGCAGATAATGTTATGTAAAACATACTTTTAAACCATATTTATTCCTTACTACCATTGCTTTTTTCTACGTGCACTCCCCAGAGCTATCGGGTTCTCTATGGTCCGGCGGAAAGCCATGTCAAAGGGTTAGGACAGGTTCGCTGGCAATATTCCCTCGGCCGAGGGAGCGCGAAAGCCGAACCCGATTTGGCCAGCATCAGGGAGTATAAGAGAACGTGCTGCGCACATGCCCTCTCTTTCTCTCCGAAGCAGCCAGCAGCCCTCTCTCTCTCGCTCTCTCGCTGCTGCAAACGCTGTCTCTTTTTCGAGTGGCAAGTGGCGCACTCCTGACGCAGATTCAGTACTCAATTGTTGTTCCACCACGGCGTACGTGAACGCGGACGAAATCCGGAACTCCAAGCAATTCAAAATCTCATTTCTATCGCAACGTTTAGTGGCTGTAAGTGCTGTCTCGCTCTCGCCTCTGTCCCTGTGTGTGTGTGTGCTTGTCGGTGTGTTTGTGGCTAGGAAAATTGCAGAAATTTTGGATACGAAATTGATGGAAAATCATTAGTGAAAACATAAAAACAAAGCAGAAAGCGAGCGGTAATCAAGCGGAACGTCAGAAATCAAAATCACCACCGGAAAAAGGGGTGGGAAAACGCTCTCCCATTTGTGCGTGTGCGTGTGTGTATGTGTGTGTGTGTAAAAGTGGAAATTCGCTCGCGTTTTCGGCACTTTTCATGCTCTTTTGGCCAGAATCGGAAAAACAGGACCACACCCGCGCGGGTGCAAAACTTGAAAATGGGGAAATGGGAAAAAGCAGAGTAGCCAAAGAAAAACAGCGCTGCAAGAAAAATTCCAGTTTCCCAAAGGATCGCAGAAGAAGAGAGAGGCCGAGAGTTACATATAAGAGTGGTTCTGAAAAGTTGTACTGGCTGGAAGTTCTCAAGGAGGGGGTTTTTCGGGCCAGGACAGTTGCGCAAGTGAGCAGTTCCCGTTATTTGGGGAATTTTAGCCAACAAGATAACCGTTACGCATCAGCTGTTTGCCAGAAAGGGGAATAAAGGATGTCCTTTGGACCACCAAATGTCAAATAAACTGAAATGTTTAAATTTTGTAGAATTTTTTTTTTTATATTTTTAAATTTTAAATTACTAAAATTTTGCCTTCCTTCCTTACATTTACAAAGAGATGCGAGAATATTATCCTTTAAACATAAATTAGATTAATCTTCCAGATTATTTGGTTTTATATTATTTTTTATTTTTAAATGTCAGCTCAGGTGACCATAAAATTGAAAAGTTTGCCTTACTTAAAAGTGCCAAATATTAAACCCCTTATTTTCCCGCTGAGCAGTTTTTCCCTGCTGCCTTGGAAAACTGGTTCTCTCTGTTTCTGTTTTTCGGCCTGTGCAGCCGCCACGATTTTCCAGCGAGCAGTTCGACAGTCCCGTCAGTCGGAGTTTTCAAAAAACGGCAATTGGTGTGGCGGCGACGCACAGCTGTGAGCTTCAGTTTTTGGTTTCGACCTGTGAATTTGGCCCGAACAAGCAAAAAAAAAAACACTAGGAGGATGCTAATAAAGCAGCTCGTCAAGTGACAATTATATAATGTGTGAATACGAATACAAGGCGACCCATGAGTCACGTGTTCCGGAGTGTCTGAGTGCCTGAGTGGCAGAGTGTGCCAGTTAATTCATAAACGCCAAAGGACCTCCTTTTGTTGACCAGACGCGACAATTACCACATCAAAGGCGAAATACCCATACGATATTCCTATTTTTACGCCGTATTGATTTTATTTGTTGTGCATAAAGGCATAAAAGCCGCGCCTGTGTGTTTATGTCCGGTCCTCACATCGCCATTCATTTTACGTCTTATGTCTTATGATTTCGGCTTTGTTCCGAGCCACTCCACCGAACCACCGAACCACCATCCATTTCCCCTCAATCAAATAGGAATAACATAAAAATCCTTTGTGCAGCCCAACGTAAAAGTCAACGGTTTCAAAGTCCTTCGTCAAACGCATTCGCACAGTGTACTCGAATGCTCGCCAGTCGAAAGTGTCGTAAAGTATGCGATTATCCTGTAAACAAAGTGTAAAACGCGCCCAACAAGAACCACGGCTCCAATAGACGCCGAAAAGCAAGCCAAACAACAAACAACTCCCGGATTTTACGACTTGAGCAATCAATTCCGCTGGTCACTCGGGGATTTTGAGGACCCAGGACTCCGGGACTCTTTGACTCTTGGACTTCCCCCAGTAGAGAACTATTGAATCGGATCTGGGCACGTCGTATAATGATTGCGCAAGTGAGGTGAGTCACCCGTCAGGGCAAACATCGATATTCTGACATGGGCTAAAATCACTCCTCGGGGAAAACTGAAACTATAACTAAAACTAAAACTTAAACATGCCATATAACATTCAACTGCAGCTGAAGAGGGAAAACCCATCACAATTTGCACACACATCGAATGTAGAACCGAACAATCAAATACTCCAAAGTCCGCAGGCTAGAATTTAATTAAAATTTATGAAATTTTCAATTACACTGGCAAGTGTAAATAAGTGCGAGTGCGAGCATTACGGGTCCAATTCAATTACGAAATATCTGAAAGGCCAGAAAAAACACTCTCGCCCGAAAAACAAACAACCGAACTGGGCCAGAAAACAGAAAACAAACGGCAAATGCCAGGCGGGAATCGAAGGGATCGGTTTCCGAGAGGGGATTGCAGTTTGGTCTGGGGTTTGGGGCTTTGATTGGTTTTTTGGCTTTGTATCCACATCTTCGTCAGACTTTCAGGCCTGAATGAGGGGACAGATGGTCGGTCAGTTGGTGCAGTTTGAAATAACGAAGCAGCAAACATGTGTAACCGATGACGACAAAGACAGAGATGAAGTCAAAGGGTTATTAGTGGTTCGGGGCCAGGAAATTGCAATATCCATAGAGGGACACGGATCCATGACTGCCAACTGCGTTTTTCGCTTCGCTTCACTCGCTTCTTGGCAGTCATTTATTCCGATTTCCCCCTCGATCCGGATTCGGCTTCCGTCTCCAAACGGTTAATATTGATAAATGAAGTAGTTGCTTGGCCATTTCACTCTTTCCAAGGGGGACTGCTCCACCCACAGAGAATTTCGGGCCTGTCTGTCCTGGAGTCCCTGAAATGCCAGCAATCATCGCCGGATCGATTTCCCATTATAGTACATGCCAGTGCTTGCGTGACTGCGACTAAGGTCACTTCGTAACCTATTCAAACGAGTTCCGACCTCGCTTAGCGCCGATAACGATAACGCAAACTACGCTCGCTCACGAATCGAGTCCAAAACTGACGCGCAATAGGTGTAAACATCGGCTGGATATTGAGGCCACAGCTACGAGGATCGAAGATCTCGATACTCTAAAGATGTAGGTGGTTTGATTGCTACAGTCTCAACATGTTTCGTCAAACTTTATTATGATTAGATATCTTGTTTTGTTGTACAGATAATATAAAGATGTAAGATATGCTTTAAATAGCCTTCACCTGAAAATACTTTAATAATTTCAGTCTAAAAGTTGTGTAACCAAATTCTGTTTAAAAGAAAGTGTACCTTCAGCTTCGGATCGCAGACAAAGTACCTAAACCAAAACAAAAGCGAAGCGGGGAACGGAAGCTGTGGTCAGTCAGTCAGTGAGTCTGCTTAGAGTTTTCGTAGTTCGCTGGAATTTCTCTGCTTCGGGGTCCGAGTCAGATTATCCAACAATGTGAACTGGAGTGGACCCCAAAAGCTGAGACGGCCTGAGAACTTTATCAGCGAGTCTGTGTTTGGGTATACACACTCCACTCCACTCTCTCGATCGGACAACTCCGAAGTTGGCGCCCAAAAAACTGGCGCACATAATGGGACCGAACGAAACTTGAGCCCAAAACACAATCCCGAGATGAAGGCGTAGAAGCTTGGGTGGACGGGGAACTCGGGTCTCGAGATCGGCTTACACTTGGAGCTAAGTTGTACATACGGGTTATGTACATCGTCATCGGACTTCAGGTCTTCAGGTCTCCACGTATAAGAGAGCCCGACTCGAACTTGTTTTTCTTTTGCCGCGATAGATACACAGAATTTCCTGCAGCAGCCGTTTGTTCCTGTATCGACGTCAGATGGAAACACAAAATGCAATTCACAGTCGACGATCTTGGTGCGATGGCAAGAACTGCGGACAGGTAGTCTCACTGAAAGAAAACTGTGTGATGTCATAACATTGTATATCATCAGAAACAATGTCTTGAGCTCTCTTGTGTCTATCCGATTATGCCACACTATGTTCTCATATGCAAAAAACATTTCGATTTCAAATTGTTCAGACATTAAAAATATAGTTTCTTTCTGTGCAGGGAAACCAACGCGAAAACATTCCCACACATCTCGCTCAGGTGAAGTTGGGCGGGAATGGAGGTGACTGGTGGTGGTGGTGGCACCACATGCAGGGCTTCGCCAGAAGGTGCACCACTCGAACTCTTCGCACCTCTCGGCACCACTCACCCACATCCTGGTGACGCTTTGTTCTTGGCTCTTGTTTTCTGTTTTTGTTGGGTTTTTACACTCCATTGGCAGTGAAGCGTTAAAATTGACCCAGTTGTTGATTTATTTTTACAGCTCTCCGGGCTAGGCAGTGCCAGTGGTGGCATTTCTCCTGAAATTGGATGGCCCGGCAAAAATAATTCAAATTGAAAAGCAGGAAAAAACAGAAAGCCCGAATGGAGAAACAATGCGAATTTGCGTTTCCATTTAAATGCATGAAATTCGCATTTCCCAATATCCGAGAAGTCAGCACGATCTGACTCCGCTCGAATCGAGTCGAATGAAATGGAATCGAAACGAATCGCTTTAAGGTCTCGAGCTCCGTGCACGAATGCATTTTCAATTTGCTGGCTAAAATTCCGGAGTCGGGATGGCTGAGAGGCAGCAGGCAGCAAGTTTGCAGTTGAAGTTGAAAATTGTTTGCATTTTTTCGCTTGCGATAAAAAATAAGTACTGGTATGTGGGAAGGCCTCTTCCCAGATAAAAAGGCAAAGTGCTCTGCCAGAGACAACTTGGCCGTCCCTCTTTTTGTCTCGTTGTTACTTCTCTTTTAATAACTATGCGGGCTGCTTTTTGTTTTCTTAGGGCCAAACTTCTGGCCCAGAAAAAGGGGTTGCGGAATTGCCGAGCGGAAAGAAGCTGAAAGTTTAAGTGCAAAGCCGGGGAAATTAAAATATTTCCATACTGAGTGCAGGCGACTTAAAGTTTCGCATTTAAATAAAATGTAACGAAGCTGGGGACGGTCATAAACTGGTTAACCAATTCGAAGGCCCCGAAAAACAGAGCCCCAAACATTTTCCCAGGACTTGGTGTTCATTATTTCGCAGCGACCATTAAAGTAATTTGCCACACTTGTCGCCGGCCATTAGGGCCCATTAAAGCGCAATCAGAAATCTTGTTTCCCTTCCACTCCTTGACCAATACTCGAGTATCAATTTGAGCGGCGAACGAAAAAGTTGCCAAAGTGTTGCCTCTGCACGAACCCTTTTTATTAGTTTTGAGATATCGACAGCAGGCAGCAGGACTAGCAGCAGGACGAGCAGCGGGTGGCCCTGCTTTTAATAAGGACATTCAGGCCACAGCGGCAAATAGTTCAATGGACTCGTCAAAACGCCCGTTTCAGTATCGGTGGGTTTCTCGCCAGCGAGTTTGTGTGGGGCATAAGACGCAGCTTAGTCGGGAAAATCAATATCCTGGCAAGGTCCTGCGGTCCTTTGTTGGCCGGGGCTGGCTGAAAAATGTTTGAGTTTTTAAAAATAAGTGTCCGTTCACCCGCTTTGGCTGCACGGCGCAAGGAAATTGAATATTTTATTCAAATACCGAAGATTTGTGTTACCAAAGACAGGGAAGGTAGATCTTAGAAAGGACCGACCATCTCCAATGTCTAAATTCTCTTCTTACCTAAAACTACTTTTAAATTTAAGTTATTCTCAATATTCCTCTCATCCTGTGATTCATAATTATTATATAAAGTGGCAATTAGGATATTTAGTCACTTTTTTTACTGTCTGGATACTATCTGGATCTTAGAACTTGTTAGTTTTTAGAATGCCAGGACCCTCGATTTCTCTCTCTGTACAAAGCAAACATCTGCATCTGGTCAGGACTGGAGGTTCCTGGCTTTGGCCGTTGTTGTTTACTTATTCAATTTGGAGCTGTTTGAACTGCGCTGATATGCCCATTACAAGGTGCCCTGCCAGCTATCGAGTGAACGACGTGCTCTATGGCGTATACGTAATTACGTTTGTCGCTGCCACATCGCTGCTGCCCCCCTCGACCACCCCCACCGAATGCCACTTTAAAGCATGGAAATTTATTTATTGCATAATGGGAAAAGTTTTGCACTTCAGTCATGATTTGCCCCCCTGTCGTTCTGCTCATCTCCATCTTCTGCTATTCAACTCGCAGCATTTCATTTGATGCAGCGACCAAAAGACGTGCGTAAACAGGGAGGCCAGGATCCAGGGTGCCAGGGTTCGACGGTTTCTGGGCTCCTGCTCCTTTAGCCAAGTCGGGCGTCGAGTGCTAAACTTTTTTGCCCGAATCCCGTTTGGCTTTTTTCTCCCGCCAACTCGAACTCAACTTTATGCCGAGGCGCAAAAGAGCCAGGCAACGGCACAAAGTTTATGGTCATGTCCGCTGTTCGGGGTCGGGAAAGGGAGGATGATGGTTGGAGTTGGGAGTTGGGAGTCAGGAGTTTCGAGGGGTGGCCGTTCATTAGCGTTGCCATTACATTTATTTATTTTTCTTCATTCCGTTCTGTTTCGCTTTGCAGGATGTCTGATATACTGGCATATCAGCGAGGAGGAGACTTCCTTTCACAGTGAGTCCGAAAAGTCTGTAGCAGGGAAGCTGACTAAAGTCCCATTTAGTTAGTGTGAGAGCTTTAGTTTCAACAAGTTTTAAAAAGTTAAATGAGACACACAAACTTCACATAATAGTGAAGAGGAGATTCCAGCTAGGACAGTAATCAGGTTTTGAGAGGCTCAAAGTCAAACAGAATTCTGCTGCACGCATGTCTGCAGTTATTAGACCTCCGTGTCTTGAGTCGAATTGCGGTGGAAAAGTTTTTTTGCAGGCACTTTGCAGGATTTATGAAAAAACAGACAGACCGAGATGGAAAAGTTGGCTAAATTTTCACTTCCGCCTCCGCCGCCGCCTTGCTTTTCTTTTGCTTGTGCGCCTTTGATATCCTGCGTCCACTTGTCCATTCTGCGACTGCATAAATAATAACACAAACTTTTATTATTAATTTTGCTTAATCGAAATGCCGCAATTAAGCATGAAGCGCAAAAGTTTCCTCCTTTGTCCTCGGCCGCTCCTCCTTTTGCACTGACGCGCTGCTGACCTCCACCTCGCGCCCCCCTTTTTAGTTCGCGGAATAATTTTGCACTTTTACTCCGCCGAATATTTTCTAAGAAAAAGTTGGACGGGCTGCGGTTTCTTTTTGCCACAGAAACAGAACGCAAAGTTTTCTGCACTTTCCGAAATAATATTAAGAATTTAATTGCTGCAAAGCGCAAAGTTTTATCCGGCGCAGAGCCACGCCCGTCTAGGATACTTTCTGGAAATTGTAAAGCCAGTAAGCGGGAATCATTGCGGCTGGAAACTGTCGAGTCACATGGCCAAGTACAATGGCCAATAATAAGCCTCACAAGTTAAACAATCCATTACGGAATCGCTGGCCACAAAAGGCTCCCGTGAATGAAAATTTGTTGCGTAATGGGGCACCGATAAGAAAGTGAAAACTAAATGGGAGGCACAAATAAATTGTGAAAAGTATAAACGATACACAAAACCAATGTTCGTCTCATTTCCTGCCCCTGTTTTCATCGCACACGTCGGCCGGGTCGGACTCGTTCGAAATTAAATTTCAAAGGCCCGGGACCATTAGGCGGCCCATTACTGGCCTCCGCCTTTGTCCAGGCCTCCAGGTCCTGTCTGTCCAGGCACCCGCCCCTTTTGGGGCCGGACAGGAACCCGCAAACATCCTGTTGATGTCAGCAAATTTTATTTATTTGTGGTTCGTGTTGTATTACAGCATTTTAGAGCAATTAAAATTGTACGATGGCCGGGGCACTTTGCATGGCCCCCGAAAACTTGGCCACAGTCTATTTGGCCGCATTTTTTAGATCATTTAGCGGCCAAAGTGCCTAATGATATATTGACTCTGCCTGCGCCCGCTGCCATGTTTCAAACTTTTATGGCTATTCTTGGTCTAATTGCCCGCGGCGGGAAGGTAAAACTCATTAGATTAAGTGATAGCTGTTCTCTTTATGGCCCTATCTCGCCGGGTATTAGCCGGCCACTGAAAAGTAGATCCAAGGATGCTGGATGCCCCGTAAAAAGGAAACGAGGGAGGATAATCGAATGGAAGTGCCATCCATGCTTCGAATGGCCAAGCTCTGTCAATGCAAAGCTGCTCGGGAACTGCAACTGGCTCCATTGTTCTGTCGTTTGGCCTACATATTCGGGCCCTCTCCGGTTTTTCTGCCTCGCTAACAAGCTTACGGACGGATGGCCTACGGGTTCATTTCCCAAATGTAAGCCAAACAAGCCAAGAGTGTGGAGTGGCAGGGGGCGTTCCATTTCATTAAAGTTTCAAGGCGTGCTACGCGGCGTATGAGTGATACTAAAAGCAAGGCAACAGCAGCTAGATGGAGAAGGGGAAACATTCCAAACACTCGTCGTTACACGGCAAACTAAATACTTCCCTTGGAAAGAAACTTTAAAAAAATGTCTTTAATTTCCACAAATCTTTTCCAGTTGATGTTGTGGCGTTTACTCGGCGTCTATTAGTAAATTATTACGAATATCTTACCATTTTTAGAAAATGGAAAAAAGACTAACACTTGATTTTTTGCTCTGTGCAAGAGCACAAAACTCTCGCACGGAATGGCCCTTTTCTTAGCAGTTCCCACCGTACAGTGTGCAAAAGTTGTAAAATTCGTTGTTTTGGGCCAAAGGGCACACACCCAAGATACATACACAACACTTGGGGCGAAAACGAAAACTCGAGGCCCTGTCGAAATGTCTTGGGGTGTGGCAGCGACAAGTCCGTGAAGAAGTCCGGAGTCCTCAGACCTTAGTGCGGGCTCCCCAGTCCCAAGTCCCTAGTCCCGAGTCCGAAGTAGGCACTCGCCTTTATTGGAGTGCAATGAGCTGTAGTCTCGGCCCGGTCCTGTTCCCAAGTTGTTGCGCACAACATGCTTAATTAGTTTCTGAAACCAAAGGGGCTGCGGATGAAACCAGGGGTTAGAGGTCAGGGGACGGGGCGCCCCTGGCCATGTGTGAGGCAAGTGAAAATAATTTGCGGCTTCCAGTTTCGGTTGGCCAGCGAGGGTTTTTAATTAAAAGTGCCTGGTACCCGCCAACCTAGCCCCATCCATCATCAGCAATCCCCCGAACGTAATGTAAATGAGCGCCAAGTAGCCGTCGTCCGTGGACGGAAGATCCGCATCGGAGATGCGGTGGCTGTGTTTACAGCGGAATCCCGAATCCTGAATCCTGCGCCGTGTGTGCAGCCAACCAAAAAGCACCAGCAAACGGCGGCGGAAGCGGATGCCATAAAGTGCTGCCACCACACGGGTCGAAAATAAAATGGCCGCCGTGCGAGGAAGCAGATTCCAGGAAGGCATACACTGAAAGTGAAAATATATAAAGAAGAAACCGCATCTGTAAAAAGTAGAGTTGTAAACTTTTTAAAACTATCTCTGGGTCTTTAAATAATAATCTCACAAAAATTATGAGCAATTATTCTTATACTTAATCAAGATTGGAAAATAAAGAGATTGGAAACGATTTTGCGAGTGTATGGAAATGTGCATTTGCCTCCATGGCGAATACTGGTCCAAGGGAGGGGCCAAAAGCTGGCACACACACATTTTAATGACAACGACGTGGCCGACAATTCAGTTATGGGTCTCATGGCACGACCAGCCCAATAGCCAAAAACAAAACTAGGAGAGGAGCGAACCAATCAACTGATTTGGTGCACGTCGGGTTGTCCGCCTGCTCATCCCGCTAGTCCTTTTCGTCCTGGCGTATCAGCAAATGCAATTCGTTTGCTGATTTGTCATTGTTTGGTACGCCGGCTGTCCCCACAGCTCAACTTGAGCTGATTTACAAATGAAATCATACGCCATGGTGGGCATTTCGGTAATGAAAATTCAGCCATAAGGGAAATCATTTTTCCGGCTTTTGTTCTATTTTGGTTGGCTGTGCCTCTGCCTGGGCACATGCATCCTTTTTCAGCGAGTAGGACGAACAGGCACCGCACACTTAATGCGATTTTTGGTGCTTGCTTGTTGCCCGTGCTTTTAGTTTTGATGTGGTTGAGGAGAAGGCGGCTGCGGGGGGTGTTGGCTACAGGACGGCGGCTGCGGGGGGTGTTGGCTACAGGACGGGCCTGTGCCAGTAGCGCTGAGGGATTCGAGAGCGCTCTATAAATAAATTTCGTTTTAATAAACTTGTCATAATGGCGCTAACAGCGCAAAAAGTTTTAATAACGCTCCACAAACCTTGACGTTATTAAAATTTTACATGTCATGCCAGAAAGGATTAAATTCAACGCACAAGGACTCGCAGTGCGTGTGTGTGCTGCGCTGTTCTCTGCTCTCTCACCGGATGTATTAAGTTATGCATTAAAATGGCACTAATGACGTTTATACAGCTCTGTCAGCCACGAAACTTTCCATCCAACATCCAACACCCACCATCCACACACAAACACATCCTGAGGGAAGCTTTGCTCGAGTTACTTAATTGCAGTGACAACATTGAATAAGGAGAAAGCAAAGCCTTTCACCCTTCCTCTCCTGCCGCCTAACTGCCAGCCCTCCAGGAATGAAAATCGTTACAAAAATGCTTTGCCTGCAATTTAAAATGTCTGTGTGGGTGGCTGCTGCTGCTACTGCTGCTGGGGTTGTGGCTTTTTGTGTTTCCGTACGGGGGAGTTTTACGGCAGCTGCTTATATTTACGTGGCCATGTAATGGCGGAGAATCCGGGAAGACGGGCCACGGCGTTTCATTTTATACAAATTGAGCGAATTCCGCTTAAAGCATTCCAAATAATTTAATTAAAAACACATTTCTGGCTTTGTTCTCGACCGAGAGTGACAGGGAATCCCCCTCCTCGCCTCTTCCATGCTGCATACTTGCGGGCGCTTCATAAAATACGCTCGGCTGCCATTTCAATTAACTGCAGCGGTCCCAAAAATCGGCCTCTGATCACGATCCGAAGATAAAGTACCGCCCGGAAAACTATCAAACAAAGGCATAGAAATACCCCATGTCTTTCCGCCTCCTGTTCCCCGCCCCGTTCGACACCCAACACGAGTTTTACATTAAAACGCAAAGTTTTATTGCCAAACAGCGCGCCGGGGCAAAAGTTTGGTCTATTTGTATAGGAGCCTTGTAAGTTCCTGGGCCGCTCTTTGTCGCACCCCCATCTCAATCTGCTAAGTGGTGTCCTTATCAGTTGTAGCTACAACATATTAGCTGCTTAATTTCACGGACGTGTGTGCGCCCAAGGAGTGTTGAAATGGAAAACTTTTGTTTATTAATTTGTCAACGGCGCTTAGGCGCTGTTTTGGGTTGTCCAAGATGCTCGATAAGGTTCACCTGTCTGCAAAATAACTTTTCTAAGGGAAGTCGTCTTTAGATGTAGGCCAAGATAGACAGCACTTTCATTCATTTTCAGTTTCTGTTACCACTAACTTACCACTACAATAAAATATTTTAAATAGTTTTTAGGTGCTCAAACTCTTTTTATGTAGACTTTTTAAACGTGTTCTAATTTCAAATCAAAACCATTTCTTTACCTAGACTTGGCCAAAACTTCTCACATTAAACGAAACATTAGAAAAGTTTGCAGAAAGTTTGATAGGTTTTAGGGATAAAGCATATCTGAGAACCTGAGTCTGGAGCTGGGCAGGTTGACCCAGAGGAGATTTTCCAGCCACTGGTGGGTGGGTGGACTTGGGCGGCTGGGGAGGATCTCCGTTGACACTTGACGTCTGACACTGACGGCTGTGATGGATGACGGCTGGGGACGTGACAGCTTCATCAAGTGCAGCCAGGTGCGACTGCAAGGCGTTCATTGATGGCAACATTTACCGCAATTCACTCGCAACAATGCAATCCTCTGACAGATTCTCCCCCTCTTTCTCAACCTCTTTTCAGATGACGCCACTGCCGGTGAGAAGGATACGTTAGGGCGGCGTCGAACTATGGGAACAGAGGCATGGGCGTGTGCGCAGACCTTGGGTCACATCGATGGTGTCGGGCATTGAGCACCCAGAACAACACCCAGAAATCGACGGATCAGCAGCAATCCCAATCCCTGGAGAGCCCTTCCAGGAGTCCAGGAGCCATTGGCACGACACCGACAACGACGATTCCCGCTACTAAAACGCTGACGGCATCGCCGGCGAAAACGGCAGCTTTCACAGTGAAAACGACGAGGAGAAGACGCCGACGAAGGGCAGGCAGCTCCATCTGCGTTCCCGTCTGCGGCCAAGGGTCAACGATACAGGTGCTCCAGTTAGTTCTGGTCTCGTTGCTGGCCCTTCTAGCGAAAAATGCCCAGGCGCACAACATTCCAGGTGAGCAGAGCAATAACGTTGCTTAATTAAATTTCAGCGGCAAATCGCCCGAAAGCCACGACTATTCGCGGCCAAAAATTTCATTTGAAAATTTGATAAGCGCCGGTTTCTTTGTTTTTTTCGTCTCGCGAAATTGCAGCTGAAGAGTGAAAAGGGCGCATGTGTGGGACTTGGTTTTTATTTGGACCATCGGTGCTCGGTGCTCGGGAAATTTAATGGCGCACAATAAGCGGCTTACGTGCGGCCAAAGCTGATTACATTTGGCAATTAGTTGGCAGTTGGGCGCAGCGTCGAGCACCGACCAGCGACCAGTGGCCAAAAAAGAGAGAGTGGAGCTTTTGTTTAGGCCTTTCGATTTATTTGTTCCCCGCTCTCATACACAATAGATGGCCCCTCGAATACTCAATTTGAATTTGGGACCGACTATGCTGGAGTGGCATCTGATTCTGTACTCTGAATGTATAATTCTCTACGCAGGCTTAGGCCTTAACTTCAACTGGTTTTATAAACTATTTTAAATTTTATTCAGCATAATGCTTCCCCTATTTATGCACTTGCCACGTTGTGGAATGCCTGCCGTTAAGTGTATTCCCTTCAGCCTCCCACTGAATTCAATGAGCTGACCTTCACTCGAAGTTTTCTGTCCTATTTCCTGGTAGTCTCTACCGCCCTTCCGGAGGACATTAAAAGTTGCCACTGGCTCCGCCCAATGTACCGTGACCGTCTTCGTTCCGAGCTCGTCGAGTGAATTAATTCAATTTAATTTAGCCGAAAATTGGAAAAACCGCTCGAGATTCCTTTACCATGGCAGCGAAATGGCCACTTTGCAGCACGATCGAAAGGTCAACGGAGAGTTTAGGGCGATAGGTTGGGGCGTGGCTGATGGCTAGATGGGAAATGCCGAAATAAGTTCCCCGAATTCAACTTGGCTTTAATCAATGAAAACAAACTGCGCTCCGCTGAATAACTCAGGCCAAAACTCGTGTCAAGTGCTCGGCGGCGGTGGGTGGTTTGTTAAGAGTGAGGAAGGGAGGCAAAATGTCTGCCTTTGGCTGAAGGACATTCTAAATGGAATAATGAAACCACTTTTGCATGTTAACGCCATCAAAAGGCGCGACAGAGGCGAAACACACGCGGGGACTTTGACATCCTGGCTTCCCGACTTCCCGACTTCCCAACTTCCTGACTTCCTGACTTCCTGCTACCCTCGAGTACTTCACTTGGCTCTCGGCGACATGTCTGCAACATTATCAAAGGGCAATAGACGAACAAGTGCCTTGACAGTGCACGGAGAGAAATAGTGTAGATTTTGCAGCTACAAACTGAGAGCTGGTCTAAGTAGTATAAGCAACCTTGTAGTTTGAGAACCTTGAACTCTAGTCATGGTAATCCCACTCCTTTCTCCCAGTGCACCCTTCTCAGTAAAATAACCATTCCCAACCCTCTCAAAGCCGTTGTCGTCATTGTTTTTGTGTCGCTCCTGATGTTGTTTTCTGTATTTTTTCGGGAGCATCAGGCGGAGGCTGAGTGGCGATGCAAATAGTCTGCCAAAGCTGGCCAAGTTAACATAAATTTATGCAAATGCCAAAGTCAACAAGCGAGGAGTGCATAAAGCGAGCCAGCGAGTGAGTGAGTAAGTAGTCAGTGGATGAGTGAGTGACTGACTGGTTGAGTGTCTGGTGGAGAGCGGCTAACAAAGACGTCATGTAGTCGGAGCCCAAGTCCTTGACAGGCTTTCCTTCTCTCGTTTTCCATCGCTTTTCCTTCTCTGAGAAGGAGAGCTGGCTGGGAATTAATGCAAAACGCATTAAGTTGATTTTTTGCCGGACAACGCCCCAATCAAGAGCGGTTTGCCTGCCCGAACAATTGCCTTCGGACATTGGTAGTTTGCTTAACCCTATTACCGACACAGATACAGATTCAGATACAGTTGGATCTGGTCAGGGATAGGGATACAATAGCAGAAGAAGGCGGGTGGCATGTGCAGGCAGGTCAGAAGTTGTTTGTTAACAAGTTTAGGGTCAGCATGCCAGGACCAGAGAGTCCTATCCTCGCCAGCTGCTGCAGCATCTCCCTCGCCATCTTCAAGTACCCCCCGCCCACACACCACACACATGGGTGTAACAGGATATGCTCCCTTATTGGATTGCTCCTCAGTTGGCTGTTGTTGTCCTGCTGTTTCCGACAATTCATTTGCATTTCCGTTGCCGCTTGCCGAGCTTTGAGCTCTGCTCCAATTGTAAACGAAATTTTCAGCTTGGTTGACCATGTCAACGGCTTAGAAAAGCTCTCTGTCTCTCTGCGGGGTAAGGGTGTCCGTTTGGGGGCGATGCATACATAAATAATGCCCAGCACATTCGCACCTCGGGCCAGGCACCGCCGCACAGAAATAAAGCGTCCGTCAAAGCCAGCAACAAGGAGCCTAATCAGCGCCTGTCAAGTGCCCACCGCAGTCCATCCTGCCACCTGGCAGTCGGGCTCTTGGCCACAGACAGGTGACAAACGCTAATGAAATGTCACGACTGGTTGTCAGGACTGGGACATTCGGTTGAAATGCTAGAAAGCAAGTTTTTCGTCAACCAGAGAGAGTTTTCTCTCTGATTTCTCACTCTGTGTATGCGTGTGGTCAATAACTTTTATTCGAGAGGTCAACCTACATGCAGAGGAGAAAACTGGGAACTATTATAAAAAATTTAACCAAAAAATAGTTTTCGACTTTAAGAAGGTAAAACTTTGTCTTGATTTTACAATTTAATAACTTAAGTCCTGATAAAAATTACGGCATATGGGTAAAAATGTCTATCTTGAGGATTGGCAGGAAAACCTTCAATGTTATTCTCACAACAAAGCCAAAAATGGTCGGAATATCGAATGAAATACATCGTTAAGTTTGTATTTTGATTCCCAATAAAACTGCATTCTCAGCTTAAAATGTCAAGTTTTGGTAGTTTTTGGCAAAATTAGATGATGATTCCAAAAACGCAAAAATGTTTGTCTCAAAATGAGCAGAATAATGATAGGAATGGTTCGATTTGCTCGTTTCCTGCTGAAAAATATCAATCTTTTACCTGTATGTCTTGATTTGACGAATTCTTGTACAATTTAAATCCGATTAAAAATGGATTGATCGTTCTATTTTTCTCAGTGCCTGAAGAGTGCATATCTATGCATATCTGGCCACAGTTTCAGGACCACACATTCGCATTCACCGACTTTCAATGGGATAACTGATTTCAAAACCAAAATGGAAGTCGGACCGGCTATTGGTCCCTTGGGAGAGATGGGAGGGCAGAAACATCAGTCAATGACCAGCACTTGACATGTGACCGACATAGCCATCAACAAATCCATTTAAAAGTAACCCCTGGCTTGATGGTTGTCCCATTCCTTCAGACTTCCGTCGGCGGAGTGGAATCGGGATGGGTTGGGAGACTGACACAGGGCTTTTGTGGGGCCACGTAAATCGTGCTGAATGTCACGTCTAAATAGGAAAGCAATAACGAGAACGGGACTGCGGCTGCGGAATTGGCCGTATTATGGGCGCATCACGTTGGGGAGTCCTTGTTGCGGTGGGAATACCCTGTCGCCGATCCGCTCGCTCACATGTGTAACAAGTAATATATATCTGAAACCTGTATCCTTTTTTCTTGCTCTTTTCAGAAGACGCCGTGCACATCACGGCCATACTCGGAGAGGGCGTCATCTTCAACTGCCATGTGGAGTTCCCCAACGACCATCCCGTGCCATATGTCCTGCAGTGGGACAAGAAGGTGAGCGAAACGGTACGATATCACAGTTAACATTTCTTCTCTAAACTCTCTTTTTTACATTGTTGTTCCGATACGCAAAAACAAAGCAAGAAAAAGTAAGAAACAGTCAGTCAGAACAGACAGACCCACGCAGTAAACGAATAAAGAACTACCAACCAACCAGCTAAGCCACCGTTCTCCCAATCAGTGTTTTCTCAGCTAATACATACAATGCCATCCTAAACTCGTATGAGCCTTGCCTTGCCCCCTATCAGTTACCCAGCCTAAGTTCGATTATTTTAAGTTTGTTTATCATTCCCCAAAGCTTTGAGCCCAAAGCAGCAACCAAATTAACCAAGTTGATCCGATGACCGAACTAACCGAACTAATGCCAATGCTCGTGTTGTTTGTTGATGTCCATGCCATACTGTTAACCATAACTTATAGCTTGAGATTAAGATTGAGATTGAGATTGATCGTACTCGTGTATGTGTTTATGTGTTTCCTTTTCATATTGGTAATTTGAATTTGATTTCCCTCAGTTTGGTTTCAGTTTGCCTTGGTTCTCATTCAGTCATCAACCCGTATCCTCCGGCCTGAAATCGGTGGACCTTCCCGCCCTGACCTGCCACCTGCCACCTGCCCCCAAAATCACCAGCCAACACATCATTCAAGATAGGCAGGCTTTCGGCTTTCCAGCTGCCGCTTCTGATCGGCTTTCGGATCGGATTCCTTGCGCCTCCTTTAAGTTCGCCCACGAGACACAAACACACAGAACACACTCCAGAATACTTGAACACTTTGAATCGAATTATTTTTGCGGCATTCGAAAACACGAAAGATGAAATTAATCAAATTATTTGTCAATTGAAGGAACGGGCTTCACAGCACCCGGACCAAAGAGAGCGAAAGAGAAGAAAGCAGTCGAAAATTCACATTCCACCAATAAAAGAAATCGAAAATGAAATTCCATTTGCAAATCAAATCAAATCGAAATTCGTTCGCAATCGAATCGCATACACAAAAATCTAGCTTAGCTGCTCACTGCTCACTGCAAACAAAATGAAACAATTTCCACTCCTGTTATTCCTCAACCATGCAAATCCAAAACAATTAGCCACAACCATTCATAGTCGAGCAAAAATATTGAAAACAAATTAGTCACATTGCCAAGACTTAGTTGCGAGTGTTCGAAACTCTTTCATATTTCCTGCACCACCCGAAACCACCCAATCACCCAGCCAGCCAACCACCCAACATGATGGCACTCGGAGCTTGCAGAAATATGCTAATGTTTGGCAAAGTTGAGCCGCAGATAAACAGAGCAAAAGATTCGTTCGGAATTCCATAAGGATAACTGCGCAAACTTTTCAACTCTGCCACTCGGACAACCGATAGATGGCAGGGTGGCATTCATACGTATATTTTGGCATTTTCAACTGCCATTGCACATTCCCGTAGGATAAGCAAATTCAATTCCAGCAACAATTCGAATGAGCAACGGGCGCAACGAAACACCCATCACTTACTATATATAGCACCGACACCCAGTCACGTCTTTCTCTCCACTCATCTTTTTCATTTGACGTTTTTGTAATGTAATCCAATTATTTCCCCAGCCTCTTCTGCATGCTTAGTGTGTAGCGAACTATTTCAGCATTTACCTCTGCACCGAAGTTTGATGAAGCCAACTAACGTGGGCAACCTCAGCTCAGCGACTTCAAACTGAACCCCGACCTCAAACAGCTTACTTTTCATAATTTCAGGCACGCCTAAGCCAACTTTCTTCGGGGCTTCGGCTTCGGCTTCGAGTTCGACTTTGGCTGCAGCCTGCTCGATGGCAAAAACCAAGAAAAACCGCAGGGATAATAGAGTGGAAAATGCCAGCAATGCCAGCGAGGATAAAAAGGACGAGGGCGTCGTGGGCGTCAATGTCACGACTGTCCTTCGCTTAGCGAAATGCAGCCAAAGTTGTGCGACTATGTATGTGTTGTGCTGGGCAGATAACGTCTCCTGGTTTTTGTGCCAACTTAAAAGTTTTACAAGCAATTTTAATGCCAAACAAAGTTATAAGTACTGCAAGAAGTATGTTTATGTTTTGTCGCGATAAAAATACGCACACCGCAGGGGAAAACAGTCGGTAAATGGCCGAATTAAAGGGATTAACATGGCTTTAGCTTTTAATTTATGCGCTCGTATATCTCTCCTGCGCGCATTTACCCCACTTTCCCCGCAATAACATACATTGCTGGCCCATAAATGCGAAAGAATTTCGGCTCTGTCAGTTGGCATTCATTAAAGGCTGCCTACTTTTGTGGGCTTTAACTCTCTTTAATGGGAAAGAGAAAGGAAAAGGGAGAGAGAAAGCCCAGGAGGGCGTGAGAGGCTGGCGTTGCCTTAGTTGCAATCTAAATTAATTGCTACTGAATAAATTAAGCGGAAAAATGTTTGCCAGGCCAACTTATGACGCTTCTGCGAGTGCGAATATTAATTTTGGCCCGGGCCAAAGGACCTTGTCTGTGTGTCCTGTGTGTGTCCCTGGATGTCTTTGCCCCTTTGGCTGCCTGCCTGTGCGCTGCCAACGCAAATTATTTCATACGTCAGCCGAGGAAATTATTAAAACGTCTATAAGTTTTAATAAGCGACACACAGCCCATCTCCCATCTCCCAGCTCTCCCGTCTAATTAGGGAAATAAATCGATTAGCTTGGCCCGGGATAACGTGGCGTATGAGCAATTTGCTTACCAATTATTTATGTATACGCAATTATGCCGCTATCTATGGCCCACACTCACATCTCTCAGATCTGTATTCGGTGTTTAGTATTTAATACTTCGGGCAGAAGGATGGGGAGCGCAGTCTAGTGTCCTATCCCCAAGTGTTAATGCTTGGCCAGGTTCTGCTGGTCATGCGAGAGAATTCGAATTCAAAATGCACTCGGTTCAATGCATTCGGTGAGGTCCTGTGAATAAAATAAACAAAAGGCCAAGCTGGATGGGGAGCATTTGAGGGCGAGTGCAGGTTAACCCCAATTTTTGTTGCCTGCCTCGAAATATATTTCACATGCACATTTTTTATCTGCACAAGCTAGAATTTCAAATGTATCTCTTTGGCCCTCGTTGTTTTAGTTGCTGTGCCACACACTCACACACACCGAGGCAGATGATTTATTGTTGCCAGCGTGTCCCTGGCACACTACAAAAATGGTATATATATACGAGTATGTGTGTGAGGGCTGTGGGCGTTGGGTAGTGCTCCCTTTTCCATCCGGCCCTCACTTCTCCACTTTTCCTCCGGCTGTTGATGAGCATGCAAAGAGGTCGGGGGCGGAGGAGCAGGAGGAGGAGGAGTAGGAGCAAGTGGTGAGCTCAGGATCTGGGGAGTTCGTGTTGACAGTGAAAATGTGTGACCATGTCTGTATATATAGTTTGTGTATCTGCGAGAGCGCTTGTTTGTTTGCTGGCATGTTTACCATGCGGCAGCGCAATTTCTCCACGTTAACGTGATGAGTTTTTGTTTTGACTGTTTGTAGATTTTACTTTTACAGACACAGACACAGCTACCGACACAGACACAGACGCAGACAGGACGCAGTTATGTTCCCCGTAGCTATTGCTGTGTCGCAACTCAATTTATTTGCGACAGTTGTTAGTTGTTTGCCTTGTCTCAGCGGGAAACTTTCGAGAATTTCCGATTAGCGTTAATCTCCCCTGCACCTGCATGCCACAGCGTAGCTTTGAGTGTTTAAACGTAGTTGGTTGCATGATCCTAGCGCCTAAGCACACCGTTCTATGTACATATCCTCCAAACTCGCGACTCATAAACCGAATCATAACCCTAGGTTAACTACTGTCTGTACCTGTAAATGTACCTGTCCCATGTCGAAGTGTACCAGAAACCAGACTCTCGTTTGTCGTATGTACAAATGCCATGGCACATTCCATGCATTAACGCATTCCAGACAGACCAATCAAGAATCAACTCTGACCACCTGTCATCGTATTGAAAAACTAATGAGCAAACATATCCTCCTTCTCAAGGGCTCCGATCTGCCCATCTACATCTGGTATGAGAGCTACCCGGAGCACATCGAGGAGGGCTACAAGGGACGCGTGTCCCGCGTGTCGCAGGACTCGCCCTTCGGCTCAGCCTCGCTCAACCTGACCAACATCCGGGAATCGGACCAAGGATGGTACGAGTGCAAGGTCGTCTTCCTCAATCGGGACCCCAAGCAGCATAAGAACGGTACATGGTTCCACTTAGACGTACATGCACCGCCGCGCTTTAGTGTTACGCCAGAGGATATTATATACGTTAATTTAGGTGAGTACAAGCCAGAGGCTTTGTGTTATATCAAAAATTGGTACCTATATAGGATTACCTATTACTGTTACCGATATTTTCTGCCATCACTAGTGCGGGCTCAGGCCCACCCGCTTTGCGCTCTGATAAATAGCAAGGCCATAAATAAGCGCATATTCGGCTGGCCAACTTATTTGGGGGCTGTCATCTCACAGAATTAAGTGGAGTGCGACCCCCTTACGCTTTTGGCCCACTTTCGAGTGTGTCAAATGGCCGGCCATTTGTTGCAGCGCCCGAATGAGTTTGTCACCTTGAGAACTTGTATTCCCAGGAGTCGTAAAAAGTGCCACCAGCCCCCGAAACGAGTTATGGCCGCCCATTTGTCATCTTCCGATTCCGAAAAGTGGAAGAGGTTCTTAGGTAGCTCGGTCACGAAAATCGATAAGCTCTTTATGCTCACAATCCTATCAAATCAAATTTCCGTCGCTTAATCAAAGTTAAAATGTTTACAAGTCCAAGTGGCGGGCGAAACAAAAGGCGGTTGGAAAGGCCGGAAATGCGTTGAGCGAAAATGGCGCTGCAGCGCATAAATCAGACAAACACAACGGCTGATTCAGAAAACAACGGGGCCAGTGAGGCGCGTAGGGAACTGCAACAAAGAGCCTGGTTCCATTGTCTGCCGCAAATGGTGGCAGGACGAAGGACTGAAGACAAAGGATTGCCAGGCCGGAAGGAGGCGGGTTGTGAGTCCTCCTCCTTGAAACCAAAAAGCGTAACAATTGCCACCACTTACCTTATTAATTCTTCGTTCTCGTTTTCGTTTTCGTTTTCGTTCCCGTTCTCATTCTCATTTCGTTCTGGCACCACATTTCCTTGCAGGTGATTCAATTATACTCAATTGCCAGGCAGATGGCACGCCCACGCCGGAAATACTCTGGTACAAGGATGCCAATCCCGTCGATCCCTCGCCCACGGTGGGCATCTTCAACGACGGCACCGAGCTGCGGATCTCCACCATTCGGCACGAGGACATCGGAGAGTACACTTGCATTGCACGCAATGGTGAGGGACAAGTCTCCCATACGGCCCGTGTTATTATCGCGGGCGGCGCTGTAATCATGGTAAAAACCTAAATACAAATCACTTAATATTGAGATAACCCCAGGGTGTCCTAGAAATCTCTTCCCAACCAAAATTTTTGCCGAAACTCAAAGCTCGGAGGCCCAGCAAGCTCTTTTTAGAACCATCAGAGAAAGCTCTAAGTATTCCAAAATACCGACCAACTTGAATTTCAAACCGACTGCCCCTAAAATCGCCAGAGATTTCTTGGACTCCCCTTTTAAGTAAACACAACCGATCCAAAAGGGGTATTAGGGAGAGAGGCCTGTCCTGAGAGTTCGGGCGGGGTGAAGAGCATTGGCCACAAAACCCAGGGTTCGAGCAGGTTACTAATATGTAGTTTTATTCTCTACCCCCCGTTAAATCCCCCAAAACCAAACCCCAAAAACCGTAGGATAAGGCGGCGCCCGACAAACACACACGGACCAAGTCCAAGTCGAATGCCGTCAATGAGAGGCTGACCATACGTGTAAGTCCCAACTGAAAATCGCTCCTTGCATTCTGCATCCTGGACTCCACATTCCGCATACTGCATAATCTGTTCAACGCTTTCCCATTAACTAAGCCGAAAGCTGGCCAACGGCTTCCATTCACAGCAGAACCAATCACTCTGAATGCTCCGGGCTTTAGGATTCGGAGAGCAGCCGGCAAACGGCTTCAGAAATCACCAGACCAAACCATGTCCAGATTCCGTTTTCGAATCCGTGGTGAGGGGAAGCAGCCCAAAAACGAGAGAAAAAAACCCGTAACAAGCGTGAAACTTTTTGTGCCTCCATGCGGCCTCCATCCGGCCCTTATTTACATGCCAAAAAGGACGTATCCCTCCCCCACAAAACAGCTAAACAGAACTGAACAGAACAACCAGCAGAAGGAGCACAGGAGCACTCGGTACACTTGACATGGTCATTCGCCTAGACTCAGGCAGATCCAGATCCCCCTATTTACAACCTGCATACAAGCATGCTCACAAGCCCTACTTGCACCCACCCCTCCCACCGCCCACTTTCCGACCATTCTGGGAAACCTTCGTGCATGTGCGGGTGGAAACATGGCCGTCGTCGTCGTCTGTATAGCATACTTTTGTGCGCGCCCGCTAATGCATTTGCATTTCGGTTATTTACAGTTAGCTGCAACTGGGAGGGGGGAGGAGGGAAAGGGGGTTGGCTAAGCCTACACAGAAAAGACAAATGTTCCAACTTTGATATAAATTTAACAATAGATGTATTTTTTATACCATTACTATTAAGATCAGCTTTAATAGCAAATGGGTAACCAAACATCCAATACTTATATTTATTCAGTTCACTGCCTGTGCTTAGGTATTATGTTTATTTGCGTAGAAAGGATATAATTCAAAAATGAGTTTCAAGAACATTCTTAAGTGAGTAAAAGTTAAGACTTTTGTTCCCCACTGTACTGCACAAGCAATCTTGCCTTTTTGGTCTATCCTTGCTGGCTTAGGGTTTTCCGCCCTACATGCACGAATGGCTGGCGTCTTGGAGCGCTTGAACTTTGACCTTTCGCTGGCTTTTCAGGCCAAAAAGCGGAGACAGCGGAGTGTGCGGGGTGTGCAGGGTGTGATGTGCACATACATACCTCGTGCTTCAATTACTGCTCAACCGTTTTGCAGCAATCTGCGCATAAATATTGCAATAACATTTATCTGGCCGCAGGCAAAGTGGACATTTTATAGATGACCCAAGGGAAATCGAAGCAACCCAAACAGGCAGATCGAGCCAATTCAATTTACGAGCCCATTTCGGGCACCACCAGTCAAAGTCAACCCACATCAATTTTGGCCATAACTAAAACTAATTCAAATGAAACAGTCTGCCAGCAAATTGCCCGAAAGCAGAGCGGCGGCAAATGTGCCCATTAAATAAGCCAAGCACCGCACAACGGGCAGAATGCACTCATGCAATTACCAGGGCAAAGGAAGGGGTTGGGCTCGGTTCGGTTCGGATCGTAATGTTTGGCTCCTGACATTTGACTGACAAGTTGTCAATGGCAGCGGACAGGGGAGCGGGGCTTCTGGGGATGTCAGGGGGAAAGCGGGGAAAGAGGAGCACATTTCATAGCTTTGACAGCAGAAATGTTATTTCTCGGGAGCGAGTGCACACAAAGGATATCGATGACGGCGACAGCCAAAAATTAGCTGTCAAGCTCCAGGCTCCAGCTCCAAAAGGGACCAACCAGGGGTGGTTCCTTCCATGGCTCATGATTTGAATTAGTCAACAGTCCACAGTCAACCGTCATAAGTTTAGTTCGTTACCCCTTCTGGGACTACCTTTCCTAAAAATACTTTTCCTCGTCTTCTCTCCCGCCCACGAAACAGGTGCCTCCGACCAACCAAACGAAGCTCGAGGGCGAAAAAGTGATATTCTCCTGCGAGGCTAAGGCCATGCCCGGCAACGTCACGGTGCGCTGGTACCGCGAGGGATCCCCCGTCCGGGAAGTGGCCGCCCTGGAGACGCGGGTCACCATCCGCAAAGACGGCTCGCTCATCATCAACCCCATCAAGCCGGACGACTCGGGCCAGTATCTCTGCGAGGTGACCAATGGCATCGGTGATCCCCAGAGCGCCTCCGCCTACCTCAGCGTCGAATGTTAGTATTGCACTATTATAATCATATAATTGACATTCTATTCTGTACATTACTGCAATATTCTAATGACTATTAACATCTACCTTCGTTCACCGATTTTGCAGATCCCGCCAAGGTCACCTTCACGCCCACGGTGCAATATCTACCGTTCCGGCTCGCCGGCGTGGTCCAGTGCTACATCAAGTCGAGCCCCCAGCTGCAGTACGTGACCTGGACAAAGGACAAGCGGCTGCTGGAGCCCTACCAGATGAAAGACATCGTGGTGATGGCCAATGGGTCGCTCCTGTTCACACGCGTAAATGAGGAGCACCAGGGCCAGTACTCCTGTACGCCGTACAATGCACAGGGAACGGCTGGAGCCTCCGGAATCATGGATGTGCTTGTCCGGAAGCCACCCGCCTTCACGGTCGAGCCGGAGACGCTTTACCAGCGCAAGGTGGGTGACAGCGTGGAGATGCACTGCGACGCTTTGGAGGCGGAGGGCACCGAGCGACCCACCATCAAGTGGCAAAGGCAGGAGGGAGAACAGTTGGCCGAATCGCAACGCAATCGCATCAAGATCTCGGGCGGAAATATCACCATAGAGAACCTGAGAAGGGAGGACTTCGGTTACTATCAGTGTGTGGTCTCCAACGAAGTGGCCACCCTGATGGCCGTCACCCAGCTGGTGATCGAGGGTACCCAGCCGCACGCTCCCTACAACATTACGGGCAAGGCCACCGAGTCCTCTATCACGCTGCAATGGCTGCCGGGATACAGCGGGGGATCGGAGTACAAGCAGGACTACACGATCTGGTTCCGGGAGGCGGGCGTCAACGACTGGCAAACTATCTCCGTAACGCCCTCGGGCAGCACACAGGTGACCATTAATGGCCTGGCCTCCGGAACCACCTACGAGTTCCAGGTGGTGGGCCGGAACGTCCTCGGCGACGGGATGATGAGCAAAGTGATGACCGTTCGCACGCTGGGTAAGTCCTCTGGATCCTCTCCGCTTATCCGTCTTTCGTTCGCTTGCTCCTTCTCTTTTGGGTTCTTGCTGCAGTCGCTCCCCGGCATATCCTGCACATAATCTCATGAAAAACCTATGCACAAACTGAATCTGGATTGGCTCTAACATAACGCTCTTGTTTTTCTCTCGTTTTCTTCTCTTTTCCTCACCGACCTCCATCGAAACAAAACCGCTACTCGATCTAACTTTCTCATACTAATCATGCGCGCAATCAAATGCAAACTGTCAAATGCCAAACCGCGACCACGAATTTTTCCTGGGAACCACGGAAAATTCGGGTTCAATAGAAGACGCTCCGGCAGCGCCACGTAATGTCAAGGCTGCAACACAACCGCCCGACTCATTCTTTCAGCTAATGCCAGACGAAGCTGGTAAGAGAACAATCCCAAAATACAACCCAACCGTAACTCCCTAGAATGCGTAGTTGTATATAAGAATCGGATATAGACCGTCAGCCAGTCAGCTAAACTGAACCGCACTCGCAGCCACCAGCGTACAAGGATCAAATCTGTGTCTTATTTTAATGGTTTAAGGCGGTTCTTGTACCCCAGTTGTTGCGTCAGCATTCTTCGCTCTTCTTATTACCTAACCTTCGATTGAGTTATGTATATACACCTAAAAGAATCAACTTTAAAGGGGGTTAGACAAATGTTAATATTCCAATGCATGATTGTGTAGCTCCTCCTGTTGTAGTTCCCTCAATTACCAGATCTCAAAGCAAACGATTTCAAAAAGAAGATAAAGAGGACCATTTAGAGCTTTTAGAAACCATTGGCTCTCTATCGAAAGCACATTACAACCCCTGCTGGTTAGTTTCTCCACTCCATTCCCCAGATTGCATGAGGCTTGAATGTATCCCGAACCCAAACTGTAAATATCAACATTTATTTTTCAATACTTCATCAAGTTCTTGGAGTGCCTGAATTCTTAACCAATCCTCAACCAATTTTCCAGCCGACTGGTGGGCCTTCACCATATGCTCCTCTTGTGGCGGCCGCAAAGCAATATCCCATTCTCCCCGATGAATTCAATATTCATTTTGGCTTTTGGGGCCAGCTACGAAAGTACGAAAAAAGAAGCAACAATTAAATATTCAAACCAATTATACAAGGCTCCCCGTTTATTGGCTGCCAAAGCACGCCCCGAAACTCGCGCCGTTTCCCACGGGGCATAATTTGCCACATGTGCTGCGGATTCTGGGCTCCCCGGTCCTTTTGGCCTGGATCCGAATATTACATTTCTGGCTCTCACGCACAGGACTATCTGCCCTGATCTGCGTTCGCGTGTGTGCGTAATTAAAACAGTTCGGCCCCACATTTAATTATTTAAATTAATTGAACTGTTTTTACAACTGTGCCGCTGCCGCTGCCGCCTCAGCCCCCTCTGTTCCTGTTTTTTATTTTTTTTTTTTTGGTCCGTGTCTTGCAGGTTGTGTGCGGTCGATATGACAACGCCCATGCCCCATGCCCCAGCTCCAAAAAACGTAATTTAAACAACCATATTACCAAATGCCGAGGCACATTTAACAAGCACGCCCGCCACGCCCCCTCTAGATCCTTCCCCCCCTTTGCGGGGCGCCGTAGGTGCGGCAATTTGAATGCCTTTGTCGACGTTGCCGCGTGTTTTTCCAACCGCTTTGCGATAATAGTTAATTTTATCCCTGCTCTCTGTCTCTTTCGGGCCCCCTTGCTCGTTGTGTAGTTTCCCCTCCCCCTCTACCTTCTTGTGTATATATGTGTATGTAAGCCCCCACCCCCAAACACACACATACACACACACACACAAATAAATGTTTTCCCCCATTTAGCGTATTTAATTTACTTGCATTAGTATGTGTGTGTTTGTGTGTGTGTGTGTATGTTTGTGTGGCGTGTAGCACGGTGCGTATACGTGTTGGCGCACGCGTAGGTTAAAAAATAAGGAAAAACGCTACAAAATATCAAATAACAACAACAAGAACAACAGCAACAGCAACAAGGACGAAACACTGGCAACGAAAAACAAAAAGGCGGCAACTCTGGCGGCAAATGTGCGCCGTGTTGTGTAATGCAACCCTGGATTTCGTGTACGTGTGTACCTTTTTTTGGCGCTTGTAACGAAACACCTCCCGACAAGAACCATCCAATGCCACCGCCCATCCACCCACAGACACCACCACTCACCGCCCAACGCCCACTGCCCACCTCCTCATTTCATCCTCAGCAGCCCAGAAACAACAACAACGAGAACAGTAACTAAAACAACAACAGCAGCTAAAGCAAACGCCTCGCAGAAATTGTATTTCCTTTGGCTTTTATTTTCGTTTGTGCTCCTCGGTCGCTGCTTTATTTTCCTTATAATATTTCCTTTTTTAAATCCTGCATAAAACATCAACGGTAAACCATTTGCCACTGCGAAAACACCCACCACCTACCACCCACCACCCACTTGCCACCACCCAGTAGTGCATCTGTGTGTGTGTGTGTGTGTCCGTGCCGCATTTGTTTATGTCAAGCAATTTTCATACGCCATGTAGACCCCCTGACGCTGGCATTTGCTCACATTCACCGCTCAGCACTCTCACTGCCGCCCCTACCCATCCGCCCAACCAGCCAACTGAAATGGGCGGTGCAGGGCGGTGCGTGCTGCTTTCCCTGCTGTTTTATCCATACGGCGCAGCGCTTAAAAATTAATAAAAACAATGCGAGCAGCAGGCGACGCGCTCCTTCAGCATTTGCAATATTTCTGCCTGACATTCGGAATATTAAAGAACTTAAAGATCGAACGGGGATACCCTATAATGCATTAAGTAGTCTTGATGTTATACTTATACTGACCTACTCAGTGTGATAAAACACTACCCACTACCCTAAAGATTCCAAACTCGTTAATATAAATATCAAACAGCTTTAAATGAATGACAGAATTTGTTAGGACCAGCCTTTGGGTTAATAATTAAACATCCAGCAGATACAGGATATTGATTTACTGACCTCTGCCCAATCTTTCCGATCGACCTAGTATTCACCCACCTGGCATACCCCTTAGAAGAAGTGAAATCTAACCAGAGAAAATGCATGTCAAGGCTGATTACAAACGAAGCCCACACATGTGCACTTATGAATATTCAATGCATTTCACTGTCATAATTACAGCGTGGTCTTTGTTGCCGTGCGAGTTTTCCAGTTTTCCAGTTTTCCAGCTCTTGGGACAAGAGAATTTGCATTCGATCAAGGTAAACTAATCGAGCGATTGAGTTCCTCTCCGAGGAAGCGGCCGCTGGCCTTCGAGACTTGCGACCCCCGTAGTTAGCACTCTTTTCGGTACTTGGATTGCACTTTCTTTCAATTTTCCAAACACGCACCTCCACCTTCTGCACACTTTAGTTTTAATTATTTACTCGACTTGATTTGATTTGATTTTGTGTTTCGTGTTTTTGTGTTTCTGATTTATTTGCAGACCTCTTAGCCTATTTTGATATATACTTTCACACCGACTCACGCGGCAAGCTAGTTTACTCGCCGCCCAAATTGAGAGTCAAAGGTACTCGTATCGAACATCACTACACACTACATTACCAGGGTGTTCAGTTAAGTTTCAATATGCATTAAATATTATTTTTATTATTACAAACAATTCAGAATAACCTTTCCCACATTTGAACTTAACTGAACAACCTTTACAAGTCCTGCCTTGCATTATTTACCCGCCCCCGTTTTTTTTCGCTTTCAAGTGGCGGTTAAGTAATGTCTCTGTCTTGTGAAACAGCTAGTAATTCCTGCAAGCAAACTGCAGATTTACTGCGGGTCACCCCGAACCCACCTTCCCCACTTCCCCGAACCTTTCCCCTGGATCCCCACAGCTGCAGTCATAAATAACATTTAACCGTGGGACGGCGCCTCGTGCCTTTTTGTACCCCGACTCTACCCTTGACATTTTTACAGTCCATCCGTCCGTCCGCCTGTCCGTGTCTACCCATCTCATTTAGGCCTTTTTCCCAGCCGCTTTTCCCGGGCCATTTTGCTTTTTATGTTTGTCACTTGTCTCGTTTATGTTATGTCAAATCTGCGCACATTTTTTATGCCGGCCGAGAATTAAAGGGTTGCCACTGCCGCCGCTCTTGCTCATTTCTGCCCCATTCGCATAATCAACTTTTGATATATGCGCCGAGTATGCGCTTTCAAATCCCGCGAGGGCTCTTTAAAAGCATTTTTAATTAACATACATACATACATAATGAGCGTGGCATTTTTCGTTAGCGCCATCGTCATAATAAATGGCTTGCACTTATTGCCGCACGTGGGTATGGTAAATGGGTAATGGGAAGTGGGAAGCGGGAAATGGTAGATGGGAAATGGGAAGTCCCCCCGAAGAACCCAAATATCCTCACATTCGCACCGTCAGCTCATCTCAGTGTGTTGTGTGCCACAACGTTACATCGCACATACATCGTTTTACGCTGTTCAAAATTTCATAAGCGCCATTGGGAGCTACGAATTGGGCGCCATTTACATGACATATTGTGTATTTCTCCAAGCAGTTTTAATTTGCATTTGCATGTGCGACAAGCCGAATCCGAGCACAGGGCCCGAAATCCCATGGAGAACGGCAGTTAATTGCATCGGGCAGGAGTTCTCCAATCAGGTTGTCCTGACAAGCGTACCGAGAATTCAGGTTATCTATGCCTATAATTCGTTTGCATACACTCAGGAGTGTCCTTGTGAAGTCCTTTTTTGCGCCCCCTTTCCATTTGCGGCCCCGAAAGGAAGTTGAGGGATGGGGACCCAAGTATTCAAATGCGAATTGCGAAATACGAAATGGAAATGGAAATGGAAAGTTTTATGTGTGTATGCTAATTAAAATGTGTTTTTGTCAATCCCCCACATCCAGGAGCCGTTGTCATGAATAAATGCATGGTGCAAAAAAGGAAAAGGTTGCAAAGAGTTGCAAAAAGCCAAATGGAATTCTCATAAAGCTTTTAAGCGTAGCAGAAAAGTGAAATAAATAAAATCACCTAAAACAAAGGAGGGCGCAGCTTACACTGGGAAATGCCTCCTGGTCCTTGATAAATATGATTCATTTCGTTTAATTTCTTTGTTGGGCATTTTCGTTAAACCTTTTATTGGCAAATACAATCAAATTTGAAGTGGGGAAACCTTTCGACGGGAAAGGGAAGAAGGTCGACGACAAAAGGTAATAAAAGGCCAGTGGAAAATCCCTCGCGCAAATAAACAAGGCATAAAATGAAATGCAAATAAATCAAAAATAATGCAAACCATTTAGCCAGCGTACACTGAAAACAATAAGGGTTCGAAAAAGGGGAGACTCAAAATAATAGAAACTCAATGATTTATGAAAATGTAATAATGGGGGATTGTTCTGGGCTTAAAGACCCCCCAATTGTTCTCAGTGTACGCATATTTCGATGTCGGATTTCACCTTTGTACGTTGCTGGCAATTGAAATTGGCTAGCGACGGGTTTAAATTGCTGACTGGAAAACAAGGCAGGACAAAAACCCGTGTTCCCTTACTCAGCCCATTTTGTGTACATACTAATCGATCTTTTCTCCCTCTTTCCCCTTCTTCTCACTCCCCGAAAATCACAGGTCCCAAGCCTGGACCACCCCGGAATGTGTCCGTGACGGAGGTGTCGAACGGATTCCTCATCACGTGGCAGTCGCCGCTGGAACGGGCGCACATCGTCAAGTTCTACACCATCAAGTACCGGACGGACGCACAGTGGAAGACCCTCAACCGGGGGCAAATCCGGCCGGAGGAGACGCAGTATCTGGTGAAGAACCTGGTGGGAGGAAGGACCTACTACTTCCGGGTGCTGGCCAACTCGGAGAAGTCGTACGAGTCCAGCGACGAGGTGAAGTTCCCTGTGCCGGCACGTGTCAAGCACAAGGCGATTACCGCCGGCGTCGTTGGGGGCATCCTGTTTTTTATTGTTGCGATCATTTTATCGGTTTGTGCCGTAAAAATTTGCAATAAACGTAAACGACGAAAACAGGAAAAAGGTAACACTGAGGCTAAAGCTAACACACACACTTGAAATGGTTTTTGATGACAATCACAAAATGATAATGCCACAATGCTAATGCTGATGATAATGCTGAGCGATGATCCGTTCGATACTAATCTCTAAATAATCGTAACAGTAATCGTAATAGTCGATGACAATGTTCTTGTTGTTGGCGAACCCGAAACCATAACCGTATTAATTATGATTAACCCCCGAGAAGGAGAAACTAACTTACCAACTAACTAACGTACTTAAGAAGCCTCTAATTATTTGTACATGTCGAGCTTCCGACGGCAAAGGCCACCCAATTATCGATAACTTTTAACTGATTACCGATAACCGTTAGTTGCCGTGCTTTTATGATTTCCGCTTGGGCTTCTCCTTACGTTCAAGTTCTCCTCATTTGCTGCCTTTGGCCGTGGAAATCTTGAAACTGCCTCCGTTTCCCTTTCAGTTCCGAGAGATTGGTTTGTTCGACAACAACAGCACATTGGAATTTGCATTTGAAACGTTTGTTTGCCCAAAGTAAAATATTTGACAAAATTCTGAGCCGTCGAGGCGTTTGATATGAAATTCTCCATAAATTATGCCTGTCTGAGATCTGTATGATTTGTACGTTTTCGTTGTAGTTGTGCAAGTAAAATTGAGTTACAATTTGGCAGAAGTTGCTAAAAATCTCTGTATATATATTTACATACTAATTGGATTTCGGTTTGCTTTTCCTTATTTGGTTATCCTTCTTTTCGGATTCTGATTCTGATTTCGTTAGCCCTGAGTTCTTCTTTTGGGGCCTAAGAACCCCCAGTCCCTATGCTCGTCCCCCCCTGGTCCCACATCCACTTCCGTAGACAAAAGTGACTCCCCAGATCTAAGTTGAAAATCGGAAAGTCAGACCTCTGAAATTATCAGTTTTGTTTGCATTCCATTAATTACGCCTTCTGTTCGTATCATTGGGCCTATAATTTTTTGTAAACTCAATCTGGCTTCATAGCGCTTTGCAGCCTGTTTGTTTTCGAATTCAACGCATGAACATATTACTAGTTGTTGCCACTTTAGTTAAGCATTAAGCCAAGATGCCAAAAGCAATCGATTAAGCTCCATTTGTGCCTGTCCCCGCCCGCCCCCGGGGAAACTCCTTTCGACTTTCGAAACCAGTATGAAAAACCGGCCGAAGTTGAGCGGAAATTGAAAATGCCAGGGCCAGAGGACCAGTACAGCCAGGACATCCAGGACATCCATTATTTGACGCCCGCTGGCTTTAATGCAATCGAATCGAATCAAACCCGGACCGAAACCCAACCTGACCGAACAAAACCGACCATATCGAACCTCTGCCTCTGCCTTTTGTTATGGTTTTTGCTTTAAACTGTATTTTAAGTGGATTAATTAATGTTGCGTTGTTTAAATCAATTATTTATGTATTCTTTCGAGCCCCCTCCCCCACACACTTACACAACACAGAAAAAATAAACAAAGAGCAGGGAAATTGCGAATTTTTAAATCAATGCAGCCCATTAACTGTGAAATATGAAGTACACACACATTGTACGAGTATTCTATACAGAACACATTGTTCTCAATAACTTTTTTTTTTTTTTGTTTTTTTGCTGCTGTGGTAAGCACATTGCGATAGATTAACGTAAACCGCTAATGACTTAAATGTGACAAGCTGATAAGGCTGATGAGAGAAATACCTTTATCTCCATACCATTGACAAGCATGTTCTTGGCCAAATCGTCGTTGTTTCTGCCCAGGGCTGAGTTCATGACAGATAAAGGTATTTCAACCGCAGATGAGACCACAGATACGAACATCTATATACATGGCGAATGACCATTTATATAGCGCAATACTGGGCAGACGTTTTTTGTAAACAATTCACGCACAAAGATGGTAAAATAAGGCCCACAAACCAAGTCGATAGAGCATTCGAATCTAGAAAACCGAATCCGAAGCATAAAATGATCGCGTCGTCAATTGATCGGTTTTATCCGGTGCATTGCAGTCGGAGTGCCCCGCCCTTGTCCGCCCAACTTCCGGGACTCCACACGGATGCCATCTCGTATCCAATCTATCTCGGTTGAAGTCCGAGTTGGGCAGTCAACGGGTGGAGCGACCGAGCATCCCAAAATATGAGTAATGCGTATAGTAAGACCCCCTAAAACCCCAACATCGATGCGAGCAAGGGTAAGTTTTTGCAATCATTTTAAGTCGATGTCGTGTGCCACAGATCCTGAGTACTGACAACAACTAAAGGTTATTTTCAGACGAGTTCCCACCACCCCACCAACCAACCAACCAACCAAGAACCAACAACCAACAACCAACTAACCAACACTGACATCACCACAACCAACCACTCGTCTGTGTTCCATCGATTAAGCATCTGCATTCCACTAACAGTCCGCAATCCGTCGGTCATAAGTTGTCAGTGGCTCTCTTCCCGGGCAGCTACTGCTCGCTCGATCAGATACTCCCCGCCGCAGCCGCACTCTCTCGAATATATATCTCAAGCACCCCACACATTCCACACATGCCAGACCTCACAGATCTCATAATTACCCAAAAACACAAGCACAGCCAAACAAAACATGACCGAAAGGCGAAACAAAAACTATACTTCTGAACACTTTTAGTTTATTGTGCGAATCACTTGTTCTTTGGCAACAGTTTTGTCGCTTCTGCTCAGTTTGTTTTGCATCCCCATAATCCCCATATAATCAGCCTTGTTTGGTTTTCGATTTGCATTTACCTTCAGTTCTTATGTCTCTCTTTTCCGTTGGCACAATTCGTAACTTGACCATTTAAAAGCCATTTCACGTGTCATTGTTTTTCCAACCATTCGAAGCCAGATCCTAAATAAAATACTGCGAAGAGCACACGGCTGTCTATACATGCACCTCGGAGCGTCTGTATATGCTATATGGTATATAGTGCGTATAGTGTGTATAGTGTGTGTACCAAGTTTTCGCATGTAGCCGTATATATGTGGGTTCCCCTTCGGCGAACTAGTTTGTCAACGCCAACGTCAACCGTCAACCGTTAACCGTCAATAGCAACTGGCCGGAGGAGCATTAAGTTTCGATTTAGCTGGCATTGTTATTCCACGACCCCGTAGTCGCCGTTCAATTACCCAAACTCCGCCAAATTAGCCCACTGGTTCACTAATTGGCGCCTCCTCCTTGCTCCACATGTAATTGCAACCCCAATCAACCGAAACTAGCTAACAACATAGTTTAGTCGTAGTCATCTAACTGCTAACTGGTAAATGGTAACTGTTATCTGCTAACTGGCAACTGTTTAGTGTCCTCTAGTAATAGCCTAGTAACTACTAAAATTTAAACAATCTAAACTTATTAGCGGCGACAGCTGAAACAACAGGAGTGTGTAATCTGACGATGCTGGCATGCAAATTGGCATAATCGACGTGGCCAGGTGCACAGCGAGAAAGGGTTTAGCCAAGCCTAAAATTTACCCACTTAAAATTTAAACTAAATTAATCTTTAAATTTTGTTCCCCTGCCTATATTTAGACACTTGCTTAATTGGTTTCATAATCAAAGTGATATTTTAATCAAAAACCTTTCTCGCTGTGCCTAGGACTTTGATTCCGCCACGTCCTCGCAAAAATCAACAAGCATCCGCGTTATGCCAGTTTGTCCTCGAATTAAGCAGAATTCCGAAAGAGCCTAATCGCATTTATATACGTCTATATGTAGAGAGCACTGTAGTAGACATGCATATGCATAAACATATATATATAGCCGTGAACGTGTGTGTATATAGAGTGTGTGTGCTTGGTAGCTATACGTACGGTGTACGGGTATTTTATTTACCGGATAGGACGGCTCACGCTGCACGCCAAATTAATTTTAGAAATTATACGTTTGCAGAGTTCAACTTGGTAGCTTGCAGGATAACGGACGCTCGTAACATTGCCGCCAATAATCATCATTTGCACAATCGCAGTACGGGCTCAATTTCCTCTGGTCAAGTGCCTTTAAAAAAGTGAGTATCCCCTCCTGGCTCCATATAATCTAACTCTAAATTCTACCCGCCCAACTACCAACTGCCAACCCCATCTGAATCTGAATCTGTATCTGAATCCGTATCTGTAACGTTGTCATCTATCTGTCTACCCATTTCACTCTGATTGGCATCCGCCATGCACGTTCCACCGATCTACTATCGCTCCATAGCAATACTGAACATTACCGTGATTATGAAAGCGTTTTTATAGTTCCAGGTCCATCCTGTCATAATCAAAATCGTAAGCAAACTGTTCTCAAACTTAATCAAAGTTTTCTCTCTTTCGTTGCGTTGGCTTCCGTTAAGTGATTTTCTTGGCTTTTACTTTGAGTTTAGTTTTCCAACCTTTCGTTCTGATAAGCATGAATCAAGGGATTATAATTGTTACCCTCAGAAGAGGTTTAAACCTTGAAAGCACTACGGAATCTCTGGAAGGTTGTAGTAACTTTGAAACGTATCTTAAAGTATGCCTTAAAAGTTATAGCATACTTTTAGACACCTTTTAAAAGTGTTTCCAAACCAGAGATTCCTTGGGCATTTCGGTCTTTCTTGTTTTTTTCCATTTCCTATCATTTTTAAATATTTACTGTTTGATTGCATTTTAATTGAACTTTTTTTTATAAAATATTTACATATTAAAATTTTTCCCCCTCCTGCAGGTACAAACAAACCCGAATATCAAGTCTAACCGCCATTCTCATTGCCATACTCCACTGGATCTGGCCACCTGATCGCTGCACCAACTGCCACTCCATCTACAGTTCACCAAATCTCGAGGATGGCGATGAGGACGGCGCAGGAAAAAGGCGTTCCGTAAGCCGCATCCAACGAAGCCTCGACGGACGCTTTGTTTTGGATGTGGAGGGGGTCTCGAAACTGGGTTACTCGCAACAGACCCTGGAATCGGCCAATGTGGATGTGGTGGATGGTGGGCTCTTCGAGCGGAGGAACAGCAACGTTTCCCAGAAATCCTCTAGCGATGATGGAGGATTTCTGTCGCGTCGAAACTTCATCACAGCTCGAGCTTCGTGGCGACGTCCCTTGGTGGCTTCCTCCAGTCAGTTGAGTCTTCAGTCGGCGGCCGATTCGGCGAGGGGTTTTCTTCAGGGTTTGCTAAAGATCGGAGGAAAGCAGTCCGCAGTTCCCAACCCGCAAACCTATTTCGATGAAGCAGTGAGTGGAGCCCGCTACCAGAATGTCCTGCGTCCCTACACCAGCAGCAATAACTTGTACGGCAACGCGGATAGAAGCCGACCCCTGCACATAAATACGATCAGTGGCAGTCTCAGTCAGCAACAGCAGCTTTACACTCCCTCGAGGATCTCCAGGATATTCTCCAGTTCCCCTCAGCAGTTGCAGCCACACCACCAGCAACTTCTCCTATCCAGCGGCGGAAGCGGAGCCTATCCCACGCACTTCAGCGACCTGAGCACTGTGTATCCTCCGAACTCCGCTGAGAGATCATCACACAACCTGAGTAGTAGGTACAGGTACTACTCCCAGGAGCTGCCTTCCCTGAGAACCATCCAAGAGGAGAGTCGCCGGCAGCAGCAGCAGCAAAAGCAACATCCCCTGGAAGATCACTTTGTTCCCCTCCAGCTGCCATCGCCTCCTTCGTGGAGAAGCTACTACCAATCGCAGGCCAGCTATCGCCCACGAACTCGCTGGTATCCACGTCATCATTCGAGGCTCTTCAGCAATCGGCAGCAGCAGCACGAGATGCTCTCCCCTTTGCCCCAACTGAACCTCAACCTGCGCAACTCCATGAACCCAGGTGGCTTGGAGGCCTCTCCGGAATCCCGATCCAGTTCGAGTGGATTCGGTTCGAAGAACACCTCCAATCATCCGGGGAGCACCAGCGAATGGAGACTCCTGCCGCCCTACAGAGCACCACCATCGCCTCCGAAGCATTCAGGGTACTTTGGAGGACAACAGGCCCAGGGACAGACGCCACATGGCTCCTACTCGTACCCCAGAGCCACAACGCCGCCATATACCATGGCCCATTGGCTGGAGATGATCTCAAGACTGAACGCGGCGACGGATAGTAATCTACCGAAGTCCTGTCCCGTGGACGTGGGCAGCGTGGACGGGCACTACGAATTCGACCCGGCCACGCCAACACCCAGTGCATCCAGCATGCTGCGCGAAGATCTCAACCTGCACATAGACACGCATCCCTATCATCATCACACGCTGGGTCCCTTGAGTGGGAGTCTGCTGCACAGCCACGCCCCCTACGGCGCAGGGAGCAGGAAGCCACGATCTCTTCCGCTTCATCTGCCGCGCTACGACAACGTCGAGGTCAGGCTTCAAGCCATGAGGGAGGAGTTCTACGCCTACCGCAAACGCCAAGCGATGCAGCAAATGGAGAGCGTTTGCTGAGCCAGCGAACCATTTAATTGAGCCACACCCACAACCCACAGCCCACTGCCCAGCCACACACCACACACTCACGCCCAGAAAGAGCCAGATTCATAGAGAGACACCATCGTAGATATATGTGCCGACTAAGTTGGACAGCAGCGATTCCGAGGCAATCAGACGCGATATGATACTGGATCAGGCCCCTAATTCAGAGATGAACTTTAAAAGTTTGGCCCCCTGCAAACTCACACCCAGAAAAAGATAAAAAATCACTTAGAAGCCAGAAACAATTAGTAGATTTAACAGAGAAGAAGGAAGCTGTGTAAATATATCGGACGAAGTTTAAGATAATATTTAACAACTATAGCAATTATAGCGACATATTATTACAGAAATCGATAAACGTAAAATTGACATTTAAAGCAAGTGAATGGAGCAAACGTTGTTTGGCGCCATGTGCAGAGAACAAAGAACAAAGAACAAATTACAATTACAATTAACTATTATTTACGAGTACGAGTACGAGTGTTTAGATATTGATACTTAACGTAACACAGATCGAGATATGTTAAACATTGAGCATTAAACATTAATTAACAATCCACGAGCGTAAGCCTAAATTATGTTACATTACCACTAAACTAAATTAATACGGAATATGCTAGCTGTTAAGCATTTAGTTGTTAACAACTAGAGCGGAGATGATCGAGAAACGAGGAACGAGGAACGAGGAGGTGACGACCCCAGATGAAAGCGCTAAGGAGTAATTAAAGAACATATAGAGAAATTGTTTCATAATTAAATTATTTAACGACAAGAAGCCTACAAAGCAAAAATGAACGCGCGAGCGAAATAAAAAGAAAAACAAAAACAAAAACGAAAACAAAACAGTTTAATGAACAAATTAATGAAATATAACTGCTGCATATATGTTTACTGTTGACCTACACACGATAATTAACTCGAACAAATATTTATTAACCCAAAAGTAAAAACAAAACACGAAAATCAAACGATAACGAAAGGAAACCCAAGAGCGAGACCACTCCTTCCGGTTCGACTCAAAGCCCAAAACCACATCGATGAAGTAGCTAGGAGATAGCAAGAGATCCCCAGATAGTAGTCTCCCGGGGTTCCCGAGAGAGCGATGGTATTTGGTCTTAGGTTATAGGTCAGTTGTGTAAATGACAGCTCCCCGGATGCGGCTAAGTTAAACGAGGCGAGGCGTTTCTGTTTTTTAAGTACTTGTTAACGATAAATGATAATTGATTAACGATAAACGATAAACATGTCTAAAGATCAAATTGTACGGATTGATGGTTTGACACAACTTGACGCCAAAACACTGCCAGAGCGAGAGATGCGAGAAGACCGCGAGTGTGTATAACTTGTGTAAATTACAGAGCATATGCAAACATAATACTTTAACGATAACGATAATAACGATAACGATAACACTATTCAGGGGACGGTTGGAGCGCGAAACAAATCAAGAAATCAACTAAGAATCAACCGACTAATGATCTCAAGCATTTCTTTTAGCCTTCGACTGCTGTCTGCAGTTTCGTAACTCCCTTTTTTCATTTTCAATCTCTGATGATTTTCACCCCCAAGATGAGCCCACTCTCTGCCTGTCCGTCTGTCAGTTCTTTGAGCAAGCGCGACCCATAAGTCTCGCCCAGATCAGTTTGGGTTATGCTATATAGCAGGTCTTACAGCTCGGCGCTTGCTAGATTCTTGCACCGCAGAGAAAATCGTATTTGAAATGGAGATAGTCTAGGATGACGGTTCAGAGGAGGAGGAGGAAAACTCGAGTTGTGTTGCATGTATTTTGTAAATGTTGAGGGTATTCAAGTACATAAGTTGATTTTTGTAATGCCTAGGACACCCACACTATGACACGCCCACACTGAGAACACTAAGAACACTGAGAACACACACATTAAGCGTTTAACTAGAACGAAATAAATTAATTAATTAACTGAGCATTAACGGAACGAAGCGAACGAAGTGAGAAAAGCGCGAGCGAGTAATTGCGAAATGACAGCATAAATTGAATTTTAATTGAGCGACGGAGCCGAGAGACGTTAGGCGCAGGACCTTAAGGCAAATAGATACATATATGATTATTTATACGAGTGCATGTACGGGTGTAATGTATGTGCGGTACGTATATATATGGATATAGATACTGGATACACGGCATGTACATTAAGTAAGAGGAATACATTAAAACTAAGTTAAGTAAATCTAACGCTTTAGTCTGCCACTTTGATTTTTGGACAAGGTGCGCCAGTTAACTTTTCGACTCAACTCGACTCGATTCAAAATTAAATGAAATGATGAAAAATAGGAACTATCAAAAGAAAAACAAACAAATTAAGAAATATAAGAAAGGGAAATCTATATTCTTTTGCACCTCCTTCCACTTCGACGACCATTTCGCCATCATTCCCCCGACACGAACTTACCGAACTTACCAACTTACCAACTTCGCCTCACTTCGCCTCACTTTCCCCAGCCCGCCAACACACCTTTCACTTTTCCACTTTACACTTTCCACTTTCCAGACCTTCCCCACTGCAATTCCAATTCAGCATATATAAATCGTACAAGGATAAATCAGTTTAGAACGAAATATATTGTAATTAATACAGACACACAATTATAAAGAGAAATTAGCAAAATGAACAAAATTTTTAAACAAATAAAACTTACAAAACAAAGCAAAAAACAAACAAAAAACCAAACAAAAACAAATAAAAATACAAAACTTGAAATTGATCAAATAAAAGCCCAGACCTGTGTTTTCTTTTTCCATTCGGTTAAAAATATCCCGGAAGCTGCGCTTAATTGATGCCCCTTTGCTTCCACACAAATATTACTCATACGCCACCGTGGCCAACCTGAAGATGACACTGGCATTGGGGCAATTAGAGTAATGAAATTCACGAAAATTCCGTATAAACAGCTCACGCATGCACACTGGTCATATCCGATGTGGAGGAACGATTGGCCCCTTTTCGGAGCAAATGAATTCCCATAAATAGGAATTTATGTGGTGAAAATTGGCTAATCTTTAACGGCTTTCATTGCTGGGATAGTTCAGTCTTGAGGCCAAATGCTATCTGCAACACTTTGGCGATCGCCTAATTATTTAAGTGGATAAACGTCTGCGAAAGCGAATTGTGGGGGAGACGCTTCCCAGACAAAGGAGACCTCATCAGAGCAGATGGCGTGGGCGTGTGTCAAATGTCAAATGCAGTCAAACGTTTGACGGGCGAGCGAAAAGAGAAGATCGCTGCTCAGCAGCTCAGGAATAATGATCGGTTGGAATCGGGGTTGGTCGGTTCTTCTGTGTACTATACACTTAGAGAAACTGTGTGTCGTTTGGGAAAGGAATGTTGGACTAAGTTATAGAAACTACTTTTAGATTATTTTCTACAGATTATTTCCCATCGTTCTGCATATAATCACATGATATATAGATCTGATTATGATATAATTTATGATTCATATATCATCATCGTATTCTTCCTGTGTAACATACATCACCACAAAAGCTCGGCCTCATCTGTCACTCGTTCTGCAGTCTAATCTCGATTCGGTCTCGGCTTTCAGTAGCGCTTCTCCAGCCGCTCAGTTCAGTTCGCGACCCTCGAAACAGCGCCAGAACAACCTGTAAAATAATACCATAGTGTTCCTGAACGGAACTGCGCAGAAAGATATAGTAAACAACGGATCGGGTTTCGTGCGCCTTAGAAAATCCGAATTCCGCGAGAGAGCTCCGCTCGTTTGGGGCCAATTGACCTGATTCCAGGTTGGATTTTAATTTGATTTTGTGCACTCTGCCAACGCGGAAACATTATGCAAGACACCGCGCGAGAGTGACCGAGTGCAAGTGCAGCCCCACCGCCAGAATACCTATTAAAATGCTAGCGAATCGCAGCAGAACACTCCGGCAGTGCCGATCTCCGCTTCTGGCTCTTCTGGCGATTCTCTTAATGAGCATATCCTGTACGAGCGGTGCCCGCGATCACAGGCGGCAGACCAACCTAGAGGCCAAAGTCGGCTCCCACGTGGTCTTCAACTGCTACATCGACTTCCCCTTCGATGCCCCCATCCCGTACTTGGTGCACTGGAGCAAGGATGTGAGTGCCGAGAGTTTGAAAATAATATTTCAGGGATTTTGTTTCGTTTTAATCAACAAAATGTCGCGAAACATGTAAATATTGTGCTGTTTTTAATCTGCTGCTGGCTCACTCTCTAATTTATAGCTCACGCCAACGCACACGCAGTTTTTAAATGAAATTGTCGAAATTATTAATTTATCAGACACGTAGGTGGCCCAGAACCCCAGAACCCCAGACTCCGGCTGACTGACTGACTGACCAGGGCCAGTCCGGAATGCTTGGTTAGCCTTAATTGCGTCTGCTGGCCCTCGCTGGTGCAGCGCAGCATGGAACGCGGCTCCCACATTCATTAAAAGGGTCTCACTTTACGTCGGCACTGGGAGAACTGATTCTATTTCAAGAGATCTTATGTTTAGTTATCAGGAAAATGAGAAGCTATTTAGTATGAAAAGTTCAAAGGGTCCTTACTTTTACGCTAGAAACCAACAAATTCTCCCTTTTATGTGAAAAATTATTCAAAAAATACTGCAGGGACATTAATCCACCTTACCCCCAACATTTAAGTGTTTATTTATTGTCCATGTGTTGGTTACATTTTTTGACAAGTGCAGTCAGCCGTTGCATCGCAGAAAATGCAATCGCCATGCCAGTGGGGAGGCTCCCTTCCCCAATCCCCATGGAGAGCAGGGTGGCCAAGGTGGTTGTGTTGGTGGTTGGAAGATGGGTGGCTGGTGTGTTTCCCGCCTTTGGGTACTAATTAAAGCGCAACCACATGCAGTCGAACGGGCCGCATCCTGGCTGCCTGCATTCCAGCTCCTTCCGCAACCCCTGCCATTTGCCATTTTCCATTTTGCATTTAAATTTCATTTGACGCGCCGAGAACTGTGATTTCAGTATCGGAAACACTTTAAATTACCAACACATCACGGGGAAAACAAATCGCAGAGCGAAGGGTGTCAGCGTGAAGTGTGACATCAAAGACAGCGGGTAAGTGAGCCGGTCGAAATCAATTTCAATTGGATTCAATCGAATTGAATGGCTGGCATTTTGTTGACAACTGTGAGTAATGCAATTTAATTCAATTGCAAATTCATTGCAGTCCTCGCGGACAATCAGTGCCTGCTTCGGGCTCAAATATTCTATATGTTGGTATTTAAATCATCTGAATTACTATTCATCGCACGAGCTCGTCATCAGTGGCCGCCAAATGACCCCCTTAACCCATCCCAACATATGAGTTCGCATCGGTAATCGAGGGGTGGCCCCTCTTACGTTTTTGTTTCAACTATTTATCTGCCTGCTTAATTTGCTCTTATTCCGATTGTGTTCCGCTTTCCTCGGCGGTCACTCCCCTTTCCCATTGTGGGTTTTATGCTTTTTGTCCACTCGGTCAGCGGGTCATGATGTCATTTTGATGGATACACTTTAATTGCGCTGGAAAATGGCTTTTCTTCACTATGGAAAGGCGCGT